GACGTCCATGACCATGCCAATGCGGCACTCAACAATCCCATTTTGCTGTGCAGATGCCCTCCGCACGACCAAAGGCCCTCAGGAGGTCGGAGGAAAACTCGCCACCTCTGTCTGAGTGTAGACGCAGAACAGGAAGGTCCGAGCCGAAACTCTCGCTGAGCTGGCGACGAGTACCGCGGATCCAGTCGATCAACACCTCAGGGACCTCACCTTTGCTGCGCAAGGGGAAGACTGTGGAGTAACGCGAGTAGTCGTCAACGACCAGCAGAAAGTAACGCTCATGACCCTGTCCAGGGACGCAAGCTGGGCCCCACATGTCCATGTGAAGAGTCTGCAGAGGAGCCTCAGTCGGAGGGAACGTGGAGGAGTGAGGAGCGGCGCGCTGCCGGCCCTCGACACAGGGAACACAGGTAGGGGCAGGCCCCGGAGGAAGGGGAGGGAGGGACCGGGGTAGACCCGAGTCAAGGGTACGGGAGGCCATACCTCGAAGACGAGGCAGGGAGGGGTGACCAAGGCGGTGGTGTCAAAGAAGAGTCTCGTGCGACAGAGGACGACACGAGCAGGGGGCAGACGCAGGACTAGACCTGGACGCGGCAGCAAACAGCTGACTAGACGCAGCTACCGGACCAGACGCAGAGACCGGAGGAGGCGCAGTAGTCAGTGTGTACAGACTCGACCCTGGCCTACGGGTGAACGTGGCCAGGTGGCGGCCCGTCCGAGAGCAAGTGCAGTGGGTCACACGCTGACCTCCAGGGGCGAACTGGTCAACCCCCACGTCCTGGAGGTCAGCTCCACTCACCAAGTTCGTAGAGAACGAGGGAAGGTGGAGTCCCGACAGCAAGCCCGACGGGGCCGCAGGACACGGTAGAACCGTGGAAGAGTGCGCAAGGACTGGGGCGGCGTGATTATGGTGCTGTCTCTAAAGAAAGAGCGCGAAGCACCAGAGTCAAGTGTGAAAGTGTGCAAGGCCTCAGTAGGTGCAGTACCAGAGAGAGCAGACTCACCAGTACCTGGAGCAGCAGACTCACCAGTACCTGGAGCACCAGACGCACTAGCACCTAGAGCAGCAGCCGGAATGCCCGGGTCGGGCGGGACACTCAGGTAACAGTCACCCTCAGCACTATCAGACAAAGCATACATGGCAGCAAGGATAGCATTGAAATCAAGATCAAAGATAGGCACATTCTGCAGAAGCAGATCATGCCAGCGAGGGAGCTCAACAACGTCAGGAAACTGGGCACGCCAGGCATCCGTCAAGCGACCAAAGAAGCGCTGCGTAGTGTGTGGCAGCCCACACGCCTCCCCACGACGACTGCCGGTGCGAAGAACGTAAGTGCAGGGACCAGCACCCCCAGACCTCCCACGCCCAGCGTACCACTCACGAAGCTGCTAGGCCGACGGGGTCTCACGGGAGCGCGGCTGCTGCTGGCGCTGGCTACCACCAAAGCCTCCACGCTGCGTGGCTGCACCTCGACCAGTACCACCGCCGCCGCCACCTCCACCACCGCTGCCGCTGTCCGCCGCTGCCTCCACCACCTCCACTGCCGCCACTGAAGCCCCCACTCCCGGGACCACCCCCACCTCCACCGCCACCCCCTCCGCCTCCTCCACCTCCTCCACCGCCTCCCCCGCCGCCCCCTCCACCACCCTTGCTCCCCTTGCCCTTGCTGTTGCGGCGTCTCCCACTAGGGGCAGACGCAGCTCCGACCTCCTCAGTGCCAACGAGGTCGACAGCAGCAGCGGAAGCAACAGAGGGGAGAAAGGGGACAGGGGAACACCCCTCAAAGAAAGGGGTGCGCCGATCGCCGCGAGAAGCACCTACAGCTAAGATACTCTTCTCAGCTGCAGCAAGGCGCTCCTCTAGCAGGTCGACAGTCAGCTCGGTGGGGCAAAGGGAGAGAAAGTGGTCCCTGACTGAAGAAAGGGAGTCAGGGAGGCGGGTGACTAGGTAGTAAAGGGTGATGTACATGGGGGGGGGGGGTTCTTGGCACAGAACTCAGTGGGAAGCGCAGCTCGGTAGCGGGCGTCACTAGTGCGGAGGTGAGTAATGAGGTCAGCGACTGTGGCAAAGGCGGCAAGGTCGGGGAAAAGGTACGACAGCATGAGGCGGCTGAGGGCAGCAGTGGCAGGGGAGGAAGTAGCGCGCAACTACAGCATCGTACAAAGACTGAGCAGTCTTGTACTGGCCAAAATGCGCGCGCTCAGCAGGCGGAAGGTGACTACGAACAGCAAGACGAGCAACAGCATCACGAGTGGTCCACTGCGAGCGAACCGTACTGTCAGCAGTGGCAGCAGGAGCAGTAGAAACACCGCACGTGTGATCGAAAAGGGATACCCCATCCCTAGAATCACACTGAAGAAAGAGCTGCAGGTCGTCAACCCACACGTCAAAGTCAACTGCACGCCCCTCAGCATCAAATGTAAGAACAGTAGGGCTAGCCATAGCGGCAGTAGCAGCAGTAGCAGCAGTAGCAGCAGTGGCTGCAGAAGCAGCAGTAGCAGCAGGAGCAGTGCAGGCAGGGCAGTGCGGCTCAGTAGGGCGGCGCGGCTCGGTAGGGCGGCGCGGCTCGGCAGGGCGGCGCGGCTCGGCTGGGCGGCGCGGCTCGGCTGGGCGGCGCGGCTCAGCTCCTGGTGGCGCGACGCGGCAGGGCGGCGCGGGTGCTTACCAGGGACGAGTGCAGGGCAGGGCCGCGACAGCAGGGGGGGGGGAGGCCTCGACAGCAGGGGCCGCGACTGCAGGGGCCGCGACATAAAAGGGGCCGTGACGGCAGGGGCCGCGTCTGCAGGGGCCGCGACTGCAGGGGCCGCGACAGCAGGGGCCTCGACGACTGGGGCCGCCACGGCAGCAGGGGCCGCGACGGCAGCAGGGGCCGCAGCGGCAGCAGGGGCCGCAGTGGCAGTAGGGGCTGCGACGGCAGCAGGGGCCGTGACAGGCGGCGACGGCCGGGCCGCGACAGCAGGGGCTGCGACGGGCGGGGGCCGTGACAGCAGCAGGGGCCGCGTCGGCAGTAGGGGCCGCGACGGCAGCAGGGGCCGCGACGGGCGGTAGGGGCGCCGATTGCAGGGCCGGGACGGGCCAGCAAAGGCAGGGCCGCGACGGGCCGTACTAGGGCAGGGCGCGAGGCGCGCTTTGGGCAGGGCGCGAGGCGCGCTTCGGGAAGGGCAGAAAAATCGTGGTGGGCCCTAAAAAAAAACGTTCCCACTCGGGAACCTGCTCAGAATACCATGTTAGAATAGTGAACGAAATGAGTGACTGAATTAGCAAGCAGGTGGGTACAAGTAGGAAACCTAAAATTGTTGTACCCTATGAGAACTACCCCACTACAGCCTAAACAGACTATAGCATATAAGTTTGACACAGCAGTGGCAGTAGGGAGCAGCAGCAGCAAGGAGCAGCAGCAGCAAGGAGCGACAGCTGCAGCAAGTAGCAGCAGTAGCAAGGAGCAGCAGTCGCAGTAAGTAGCAGCAGCTGCAGCACGTAGGAGAAGGCGCACAGCAGCAGCAGCAGAGCGCGGGCTAGGTGCGTGCAGGCAGCGTGGGCAGCAGCAGCAGCTCAGGCGCAGCAGCAGGACCACTGGCAGCAGCAGCAAGAGGAGTTGCAGCAGCAGTGGCAGCAAGGAGCAGCAGCAGCAAGGAGCAGCAGCTGCAGTAAGTAGCAACAGCAGCAGCACGTAGGAGAAGACGCACAGCAGCAACAGCAGAGCGCGGGCTGGGTGCGTGCAGGCAGCGTGGGCAGCAGCAGTAGCAGTGCACAGCAGGGCGCAGGCTGCTGGCGGGCAATACGCTAGGCAGGGCAGCGAGATTGCGGGTGGGGCAGGCAGCAGCAGCAGTTACTAGCAGCAGCAGCAGCTCTGGGCAGCAGTGCGCTTAGCAGTTCGCTGAGCAGCAGCAGCAGCGCTTAGCAGCAGCATCAGTGCATGCAGCAGTAGAAACTGCAGAAGTGACAGCAGCAGCAGCAGCGCGTTCAGCAGCAGCAGTCGCGCTCAGCAGCAGCAGTAGCTCTTAGCAGCAGCACCGCATGCAGCAGTAGTACGGGTGCTTGCGCACAGCAGCAGCGCAGCAACAGCGGCAGCGCGCAGGGGCCGGGTGTGTACTCGTGTAAAGGCAGCAGCCCGCTTAGCAGCGGGCAATACGCAGGGGCGTGCGGGGCAGCACGCAGTGCGCACTGCAGGCGGGGTGCGCGAAGGCCGCGAAGGCTGCAGCAGCAGGGCATGCAGCAGTAGCAGCCACGTAAGTGACAGCAGTGCGAACGAGCAGGGCGCAGGCAGGTCGCGTACGGGTCGCGCCTAGGTCAGACCCCGAAATCGCGCTAGGCAGAACGGCACTAGCTAACAAACGGTCGCGATTTCGTGGGGGCGGGGCAGATCGAACGGGTAGGAGACAAGCTAACGGTGGGCCCGAAAAAAAAATTAGGTCCTATGGGACCTGCTCATAATACCATGTAAGAATCTACCCTAGGCTAGGTGACTAGAGTAGAGAGAAGAGTTGGTCGATTAGGTTGAGGGAGGGGTACATGTACAATGTCGAGAGATATTGTGTACCCCCTAAGGCTAAACCCACTAGAGTCTAGAGAAAGATAAACATATGATGTTTGACAGTATTGTCATACGGATAGGACGGCAGAGTATTTTACCGTATAGTAAACATAGATCCAGCAAGCAAAGAGCATGCGGATGATGATGTTACTGGGGGCACTGGCAGCTGTCAATGCATGTCTCCACCTCCACAACAGCAATTCTTGTGCTAGTTACCAGTCCTGGCAGTCCAATACCATGTTATCTCCAGCAAAAGCAAGCTGGATTACATTGTCTTCAAATCTGCATGATCTACTTGGTCAGGTATGGGTCTAAACCTTCAGGCACATGAATAAGGTTCGTACTTCAGTGCATGCACGAGCTGCCCCCTCCTTTTTAGCCCTTAAAGGAAGGCTTGCACTGCTACTTGGACTTCAAGCCTTGCACACACGGGGTCATTGTTGAGAACAGCCAAGTCACTAGCCCTCAAGCATTCCGCATCAAGTACTCATCTACGTTCGCCTTAATGGCGCTCAAAGCACCTTCCGAAGTGAACTTCATTCGGTCATCCTTCACTGTAATCAGCGCCTTAGCCTGAAACGCATTCGCGTACGCATTGGGGTTGCAGAATATCTCGATAAAAACGTCCCCGTTACTGACATCCCCAGCATGGCGATACTCCATCGTGGTCCATCTCTGTGGTCGGGTGGCCTTCTCCTTCTCCCGGAAGGTTTGCAGGAGGGTGGATATGGCAGCGTCGAGAGCCTTGGCTTTCTCCACAGAGAAAGGAATGGAGAGACTTGTTTCACCGATCTGAAATGCTATGGGTGCTTCTGTTGGGAGATAAAAGGGGCCAATATGTTGGTAATTGGGGATGGAGAGAAAGGCTATAATATGCTGCGTACATCAGGAAACAGACATCAAAACTTGTTTATCCGAGTGAGATTAGCTCGGAAAACAGAGAGGGCATGAAAAGTGTGGCATTCTTTATATGGACACGATAGTTGTGACAGACGCTTGCCTCTTGGCTTGCTTGCCTTCAAAACATAATCCCTCGTATCGAAATGTCACATTCATCCAATTTTGACGATTCATGTGTCCAAATTCATCCAGTTCTTACAGTCACGTTTCTCCATAATCTCCCCCGTCTCAAGGCACTACTCACCTGAGTTTGTCTAAGCAGAAAGTAGCAGTACATCAAGCAATTAACGCGTGTATCTTTGTGTGCGATAGCTTCTGTAATAAATTCGTCATGAAAACAGGAACACAAAGCAATCCTCACCTTCGGTGGTCGCTTGGGAACGAACAACAGCGCGCCGAGCCACCCGACTGAAGGAGAGGCTCCGTGACTGCGTCCCACTCGTTAAAAAGCATCGCCCAACCGAGGCTTGCGACAGGCTAAAGGAGCTGAAAGCGGGAGAAACTAGCTGCACCGTTTTCTTGCTGGTGCTGCTCGCTGCGCGAGAAACCGCAAGGGATGCACCACGCGGAAGGGGAGTGGCGACTGCCTGTGCCATCTCGACGAGAAACGATGTGGACCGGTTGAGCAGGAAGAAAATCAGCCAACGGAAGTTCCTGACAACTTCGGAATCAGGTGTAAGATATATAGGCCGAAGGAAGACGCAACGACAGCGACCAGCGTTGAACCAAGAGCACTAGGTAGGCGATTTTTTAGAAATCAAATGTTAGGGGCTGGTTGACATATCTAGCTGCACAAGGCTGGGCGAGGGAGTGGAGAAGGTGGGTGCGAAAAAATGCTGCATTTGGGGTTTACGAGCAGGCCTGTCGATTGACGGGCATATGCCCTTAATGCCCTGAAATTCAGGGTTACTTTCGCTCCAGCTCGATTGCATAAAGTGTTAGGATCGCCCTGCACCCGTGTCACCAAGTGCTTCGTTCGACCCTTCCCCGGATGCGTTAAGTGCTCCAACCAGGCCCTCCCCACCCACAAAGTTTTGATTTCCGGTTCTAGGACCCCCCCCCCCTTAGAAATTCTGCCTGACCCCCCCACTCCCCCCCCCCTTTCTCCTTAGGTTGCACGAGAGCGCGCCAAGGGGATTTTTCCCTTAGCGTTTTCTAGCCAATCCCGTGTTTGTGATATCTCTAAGTCAGCTTTGGAGCAGTCGAACTTTCCCTTAGCTAAGATAGTTAGGTGCAAGCCCGGATATCAAGTTTTCACTTTGGCCTGCGCCCGTGACCTGTTTACGAGTCGCATGCTGACAGGGACTGAAGGTGCCAGAGTGAAATGCTGGCGATCTGGAGAGAAGAAATGGACGGGTGACGCGTGGAACGCACCGATCTGAGAGGGGTGAATGAGTCAGCAATGGTCATTCGTCATTCAGGAACCTGTGGATTTGTGGGCTGTCTCGAATAGAGTGATTCCAATCTGTAGAAAACATCTCATCTTAGGTCGTCGAATTTCGTAATGAAGAAACTTGCAATAGTAACAACTGCAGAAACTTGATTCTGCATCCCAAGACATCAAACCATCAAGTGCTCCGCACCATCCCCTTGAATCCATATGTCCCAATAACAAACCACCCAACCAAAAGAGCTGAAAAGCCCAACCAAAAGACAACAAACGTAAGTCCTGCTGAGTAGACACCGAGAACCATAACTAATACGAAGGGTGCAAACTCCCCTATCATTGCTCTGTTACTGACCCATTTACCATGGAGAAACATAATTGCAGCCAGGTCCACCACATTCCAATTCGCACTTCCGTTGTAAGCCATCCGATTGAGGCAGCAAGCCACAAACGAATGGCAATTAGAGGTGAAAATGTTGTAGAATGCATGCTGATATGTGCGCACTGTTGCTGCTACAGCCTGGTCCCAGCTCTGTGACGTGCCATAGTCTGCATGGAAAAAGGGCGTGCTGCAGATGTGCCCTGACAAGTTGGACGGCAGACATGCCTGGAAGGAGAGCATGAAGCCATGCAGAGGGCAGGAGGGAAGGATGTTATGCAGAGGGCAGGAGGGAAGGATGTTATGCAGAGGGCAGGAGGGAAGGATGTTATGCAGAGGGCAGGAGGGAAGGATGTTATGCAGAGGGCAGGAGGGAAGGATGTTATGCAGAGGGCAGGAGGGAAGGATGTTATGCAGAGGGCAGGAGGGAAGGATGTTATGCAGAGGGCAGGAGGGAAGGATGTTATGCAGAGGGCAGGAGGGAAGGATGTTATGCAGAGGGCAGGAGGGAAGGATGTTATGCAGAGGGCAGGAGGGAAGGATGTTATGCAGAGGGCAGGAGGGAAGGATGTTATGCAGAGGGCAGGAGGGAAGGATGTTATGCAGAGGGCAGGAGGGAAGGATGTTATGCAGAGGGCAGGAGGGAAGGATGTTATGCAGAGGGCAGGAGGGAAGGATGTTATGCAGAGGGCAGGAGGGAAGGATGTTATGCAGAGGGCAGGAGGGAAGGATGTTATGCAGAGGGCAGGAGGGAAGGATGTTATGCAGAGGGCAGGAGGGAAGGATGTTATGCAGAGGGCAGGAGGGAAGGATGTTATGCAGAGGGTAGGAGGGAAGGATGTTATGCAGAGGGCAGGAGGGAAGGATGTTATGCAGAGGGCAGGAGGGAAGGATGTTATGCAGAGGGTAGGAGGGAAGGATGTTATGCAGAGGGCAGGAGGGAAGGATGTTATGCAGAGGGCAGGAGGGAAGGATGTTATGCAGAGGGCAGGAGGGAAGGATGTTATGCAGAGGGCAGGAGGGAAGGATGTTATGCAGAGGGCAGGAGGGAAGGATGTTATGCAGAGGGCAGGAGGGAAGGATGTTATGCAGAGGGCAGGAGGGAAGGATGTTATGCAGAGGGCAGGAGGGAAGGATGTTATGCAGAGGGCAGGAGGGAAGGATGTTATGCAGAGGGCAGGAGGGAAGGATGTTATGCAGAGGGCAGGAGGGAAGGATGTTATGCAGAGGGCAGGAGGGAAGGATGTTATGCAGAGGGCAGGAGGGAAGGATGTTATGCAGAGGGCAGGAGGGAAGGATGTTATGCAGAGGGCAGGAGGGAAGGATGTTATGCAGAGGGCAGGAGGGAAGGATGTTATGCAGAGGGCAGGAGGGAAGGATGTTATGCAGAGGGCAGGAGGGAAGGATGTTATGCAGAGGGCAGGAGGGAAGGATGTTATGCAGAGGGCAGGAGGGAAGGATGTTATGCAGAGGGCAGGAGGGAAGGATGTTATGCAGAGGGCAGGAGGGAAGGATGTTATGCAGAGGGCAGGAGGGAAGGATGTTATGCAGAGGGCAGGAGGGAAGGATGTTATGCAGAGGGCAGGAGGGAAGGATGTTATGCAGAGGGCAGGAGGGAAGGATGTTATGCAGAGGGCAGGAGGGAAGGATGTTATGCAGAGGGCAGGAGGGAAGGATGTTATGCAGAGGGCAGGAGGGAAGGATGTTATGCAGAGGGCAGGAGGAAGGATGTTATGCAGAGGGCAGGAGGGAAGGATGTTATGCAGAGGGCAGGAGGGAAGGATGTTATGCAGAGGGCAGGAGGGAAGGATGTTATGCAGAGGGCAGGAGGGAAGGATGTTATGCAGAGGGCAGGAGGGAAGGATGTTATGCAGAGGGCAGGAGGGAAGGATGTTATGCAGAGGGCAGGAGGGAAGGATGTTATGCAGAGGGCAGGAGGGAAGGATGTTATGCAGAGGGCAGGAGGGAAGGATGTTATGCAGAGGGCAGGAGGGAAGGATGTTATGCAGAGGGCAGGAGGGAAGGATGTTATGCAGAGGGCAGGAGGGAAGGATGTTATGCAGAGGGCAGGAGGGAAGGATGTTATGCAGAGGGCAGGAGGGAAGGATGTTATGCAGAGGGCAGGAGGGAAGGATGTTATGCAGAGGGCAGGAGGGAAGGATGTTATGCAGAGGGCAGGAGGGAAGGATGTTATGCAGAGGGCAGGAGGGAAGGATGTTATGCAGAGGGCAGGAGGGAAGGATGTTATGCAGAGGGCAGGAGGGAAGGATGTTATGCAGAGGGCAGGAGGGAAGGATGTTATGCAGAGGGCAGGAGGGAAGGATGTTATGCAGAGGGCAGGAGGGAAGGATGTTATGCAGAGGGCAGGAGGGAAGGATGTTATGCAGAGGGCAGGAGGGAAGGATGTTATGCAGAGGGCAGGAGGGAAGGATGTTATGCAGAGGGCAGGAGGGAAGGATGTTATGCAGAGGGCAGGAGGGAAGGATGTTATGCAGAGGGCAGGAGGGAAGGATGTTATGCAGAGGGCAGGAGGGAAGGATGTTATGCAGAGGGCAGGAGGGAAGGATGTTATGCAGAGGGCAGGAGGGAAGGATGTTATGCAGAGGGCAGGAGGGAAGGATGTTATGCAGAGGGCAGGAGGGAAGGATGTTATGCAGAGGGCAGGAGGGAAGGATGTTATGCAGAGGGCAGGAGGGAAGGATGTTATGCAGAGGGCAGGAGGGAAGGATGTTATGCAGAGGGCAGGAGGGAAGGATGTTATGCAGAGGGCAGGAGGGAAGGATGTTATGCAGAGGGCAGGAGGGAAGGATGTTATGCAGAGGGCAGGAGGGAAGGATGTTATGCAGAGGGCAGGAGGGAAGGATGTTATGCAGAGGGCAGGAGGGAAGGATGTTATGCAGAGGGCAGGAGGGAAGGATGTTATGCAGAGGGCAGGAGGGAAGGATGTTATGCAGAGGGCAGGAGGGAAGGATGTTATGCAGAGGGCAGGAGGGAAGGATGTTATGCAGAGGGCAGGAGGGAAGGATGTTATGCAGAGGGCAGGAGGGAAGGATGTTATGCAGAGGGCAGGAGGGAAGGATGTTATGCAGAGGGCAGGAGGGAAGGATGTTATGCAGAGGGCAGGAGGGAAGGATGTTATGCAGAGGGCAGGAGGGAAGGATGTTATGCAGAGGGCAGGAGGGAAGGATGTTATGCAGAGGGCAGGAGGGAAGGATGTTATGCAGAGGGCAGGAGGGAAGGATGTTATGCAGAGGGCAGGAGGGAAGGATGTTATGCAGAGGGCAGGAGGGAAGGATGTTATGCAGAGGGCAGGAGGGAAGGATGTTATGCAGAGGGCAGGAGGGAAGGATGTTATGCAGAGGGCAGGAGGGAAGGATGTTATGCAGAGGGCAGGAGGGAAGGATGTTATGCAGAGGGCAGGAGGGAAGGATGTTATGCAGAGGGCAGGAGGGAAGGATGTTATGCAGAGGGCAGGAGGGAAGGATGTTATGCAGAGGGCAGGAGGGAAGGATGTTATGCAGAGGGCAGGAGGGAAGGATGTTATGCAGAGGGCAGGAGGGAAGGATGTTATGCAGAGGGCAGGAGGGAAGGATGTTATGCAGAGGGCAGGAGGGAAGGATGTTATGCAGAGGGCAGGAGGGAAGGATGTTATGCAGAGGGCAGGAGGGAAGGATGTTATGCAGAGGGCAGGAGGGAAGGATGTTATGCAGAGGGCAGGAGGGAAGGATGTTATGCAGAGGGCAGGAGGGAAGGATGTTATGCAGAGGGCAGGAGGGAAGGATGTTATGCAGAGGGCAGGAGGGAAGGATGTTATGCAGAGGGCAGGAGGGAAGGATGTTATGCAGAGGGCAGGAGGGAAGGATGTTATGCAGAGGGCAGGAGGGAAGGATGTTATGCAGAGGGCAGGAGGGAAGGATGTTATGCAGAGGGCAGGAGGGAAGGATGTTATGCAGAGGGCAGGAGGGAAGGATGTTATGCAGAGGGCAGGAGGGAAGGATGTTATGCAGAGGGCAGGAGGGAAGGATGTTATGCAGAGGGCAGGAGGGAAGGATGTTATGCAGAGGGCAGGAGGGAAGGATGTTATGCAGAGGGCAGGAGGGAAGGATGTTATGCAGAGGGCAGGAGGGAAGGATGTTATGCAGAGGGCAGGAGGGAAGGATGTTATGCAGAGGGCAGGAGGGAAGGATGTTATGCAGAGGGCAGGAGGGAAGGATGTTATGCAGAGGGCAGGAGGGAAGGATGTTATGCAGAGGGCAGGAGGGAAGGATGTTATGCAGAGGGCAGGAGGGAAGGATGTTATGCAGAGGGCAGGAGGGAAGGATGTTATGCAGAGGGCAGGAGGGAAGGATGTTATGCAGAGGGCAGGAGGGAAGGATGTTATGCAGAGGGCAGGAGGGAAGGATGTTATGCAGAGGGCAGGAGGGAAGGATGTTATGCAGAGGGCAGGAGGGAAGGATGTTATGCAGAGGGCAGGAGGGAAGGATGTTATGCAGAGGGCAGGAGGGAAGGATGTTATGCAGAGGGCAGGAGGGAAGGATGTTATGCAGAGGGCAGGAGGGAAGGATGTTATGCAGAGGGCAGGAGGGAAGGATGTTATGCAGAGGGCAGGAGGGAAGGATGTTATGCAGAGGGCAGGAGGGAAGGATGTTATGCAGAGGGCAGGAGGGAGGGCAGGAGGGAAGGATGTTATGCAGAGGGCAGGAGGGAAGGATGTTATGCAGAGGGCAGGAGGGAAGGATGTTATGCAGAGGGCAGGAGGGAAGGATGTTATGCAGAGGGCAGGAGGGAAGGATGTTATGCAGAGGGCAGGAGGGAAGGATGTTATGCAGAGGGCAGGAGGGAAGGATGTTATGCAGAGGGCAGGAGGGAAGGATGTTATGCAGAGGGCAGGAGGGAAGGATGTTATGCAGAGGGCAGGAGGGAAGGATGTTATGCAGAGGGCAGGAGGGAAGGATGTTATGCAGAGGGCAGGAGGGAAGGATGTTATGCAGAGGGCAGGAGGGAAGGATGTTATGCAGAGGGCAGGAGGGAAGGATGTTATGCAGAGGGCAGGAGGGAAGGATGTTATGCAGAGGGCAGGAGGGAAGGATGTTATGCAGAGGGCAGGAGGGAAGGATGTTATGCAGAGGGCAGGAGGGAAGGATGTTATGCAGAGGGCAGGAGGGAAGGATGTTATGCAGAGGGCAGGAGGGAAGGATGTTATGCAGAGGGCAGGAGGGAAGGATGTTATGCAGAGGGCAGGAGGGAAGGATGTTATGCAGAGGGCAGGAGGGAAGGATGTTATGCAGAGGGCAGGAGGGAAGGATGTTATGCAGAGGGCAGGAGGGAAGGATGTTATGCAGAGGGCAGGAGGGAAGGATGTTATGCAGAGGGCAGGAGGGAAGGATGTTATGCAGAGGGCAGGAGGGAAGGATGTTATGCAGAGGGCAGGAGGGAAGGATGTTATGCAGAGGGCAGGAGGGAAGGATGTTATGCAGAGGGCAGGAGGGAAGGATGTTATGCAGAGGGCAGGAGGGAAGGATGTTATGCAGAGGGCAGGAGGGAAGGATGTTATGCAGAGGGCAGGAGGGAAGGATGTTATGCAGAGGGCAGGAGGGAAGGATGTTATGCAGAGGGCAGGAGGGAAGGATGTTATGCAGAGGGCAGGAGGGAAGGATGTTATGCAGAGGGCAGGAGGGAAGGATGTTATGCAGAGGGCAGGAGGGAAGGATGTTATGCAGAGGGCAGGAGGGAAGGATGTTATGCAGAGGGCAGGAGGGAAGGATGTTATGCAGAGGGCAGGAGGGAAGGATGTTATGCAGAGGGCAGGAGGGAAGGATGTTATGCAGAGGGCCAGGAGGGGAAGGATGTTATGCAGAGGGCAGGAGGGAAGGATGTTATGCAGAGGGCAGGAGGGAAGGATGTTATGCAGAGGGCAGGAGGGAAGGATGTTATGCAGAGGGCAGGAGGGAAGGATGTTATGCAGAGGGCAGGAGGGAAGGATGTTATGCAGAGGGCAGGAGGGAAGGATGTTATGCAGAGGGCAGGAGGGAAGGATGTTATGCAGAGGGCAGGAGGGAAGGATGTTATGCAGAGGGCAGGAGGGAAGGATGTTATGCAGAGGGCAGGAGGGAAGGATGTTATGCAGAGGGCAGGAGGGAAGGATGTTATGCAGAGGGCAGGAGGGAAGGATGTTATGCAGAGGGCAGGAGGGAAGGATGTTATGCAGAGGGCAGGAGGGAAGGATGTTATGCAGAGGGCAGGAGGGAAGGATGTTATGCAGAGGGCAGGAGGGAAGGATGTTATGCAGAGGGCAGGAGGGAAGGATGTTATGCAGAGGGCAGGAGGGAAGGATGTTATGCAGAGGGCAGGAGGGAAGGATGTTATGCAGAGGGCAGGAGGGAAGGATGTTATGCAGAGGGCAGGAGGGAAGGATGTTATGCAGAGGGCAGGAGGGAAGGATGTTATGCAGAGGGCAGGAGGGAAGGATGTTATGCAGAGGGCAGGAGGGAAGGATGTTATGCAGAGGGCAGGAGGGAAGGATGTTATGCAGAGGGCAGGAGGGAAGGATGTTATGCAGAGGGCAGGAGGGAAGGATGTTATGCAGAGGGCAGGAGGGAAGGATGTTATGCAGAGGGCAGGAGGGAAGGATGTTATGCAGAGGGCAGGAGGGAAGGATGTTATGCAGAGGGCAGGAGGGAAGGATGTTATGCAGAGGGCAGGAGGGAAGGATGTTATGCAGAGGGCAGGAGGGAAGGATGTTATGCAGAGGGCAGGAGGGAAGGATGTTATGCAGAGGGCAGGAGGGAAGGATGTTATGCAGAGGGCAGGAGGGAAGGATGTTATGCAGAGGGCAGGAGGGAAGGATGTTATGCAGAGGGCAGGAGGGAAGGATGTTATGCAGAGGGCAGGAGGGAAGGATGTTATGCAGAGGGCAGGAGGGAAGGATGTTATGCAGAGGGCAGGAGGGAAGGATGTTATGCAGAGGGCAGGAGGGAAGGATGTTATGCAGAGGGCAGGAGGGAAGGATGTTATGCAGAGGGCAGGAGGGAAGGATGTTATGCAGAGGGCAGGAGGGAAGGATGTTATGCAGAGGGCAGGAGGGAAGGATGTTATGCAGAGGGCAGGAGGGAAGGATGTTATGCAGAGGGCAGGAGGGAAGGATGTTATGCAGAGGGCAGGAGGGAAGGATGTTATGCAGAGGGCAGGAGGGAAGGATGTTATGCAGAGGGCAGGAGGGAAGGATGTTATGCAGAGGGCAGGAGGGAAGGATGTTATGCAGAGGGCAGGAGGGAAGGATGTTATGCAGAGGGCAGGAGGGAAGGATGTTATGCAGAGGGCAGGAGGGAAGGATGTTATGCAGAGGGCAGGAGGGAAGGATGTTATGCAGAGGGCAGGAGGGAAGGATGTTATGCAGAGGGCAGGAGGGAAGGATGTTATGCAGAGGGCAGGAGGGAAGGATGTTATGCAGAGGGCAGGAGGGAAGGATGTTATGCAGAGGGCAGGAGGGAAGGATGTTATGCAGAGGGCAGGAGGGAAGGATGTTATGCAGAGGGCAGGAGGGAAGGATGTTATGCAGAGGCAGGAGGGAAGGATGTTATGCAGAGGGCAGGAGGGAAGGATGTTATGCAGAGGGCAGGAGGGAAGGATGTTATGCAGAGGGCAGGAGGGAAGGATGTTATGCAGAGGGCAGGAGGGAAGGATGTTATGCAGAGGGCAGGAGGGAAGGATGTTATGCAGAGGGCAGGAGGGAAGGATGTTATGCAGAGGGCAGGAGGGAAGGATGTTATGCAGAGGGCAGGAGGGAAGGATGTTATGCAGAGGGCAGGAGGGAAGGATGTTATGCAGAGGGCAGGAGGGAAGGATGTTATGCAGAGGGCAGGAGGGAAGGATGTTATGCAGAGGGCAGGAGGGAAGGATGTTATGCAGAGGGCAGGAGGGAAGGATGTTATGCAGAGGGCAGGAGGGAAGGATGTTATGCAGAGGGCAGGAGGGAAGGATGTTATGCAGAGGGCAGGAGGGAAGGATGTTATGCAGAGGGCAGGAGGGAAGGATGTTATGCAGAGGGCAGGAGGGAAGGATGTTATGCAGAGGGCAGGAGGGAAGGATGTTATGCAGAGGGCAGGAGGGAAGGATGTTATGCAGAGGGCAGGAGGGAAGGATGTTATGCAGAGGGCAGGAGGGAAGGATGTTATGCAGAGGGCAGGAGGGAAGGATGTTATGCAGAGGGCAGGAGGGAAGGATGTTATGCAGAGGGCAGGAGGGAAGGATGTTATGCAGAGGGCAGGAGGGAAGGATGTTATGCAGAGGGCAGGAGGGAAGGATGTTATGCAGAGGGCAGGAGGGAAGGATGTTATGCAGAGGGCAGGAGGGAAGGATGTTATGCAGAGGGCAGGAGGGAAGGATGTTATGCAGAGGGCAGGAGGGAAGGATGTTATGCAGAGGGCAGGAGGGAAGGATGTTATGCAGAGGGCAGGAGGGAAGGATGTTATGCAGAGGGCAGGAGGGAAGGATGTTATGCAGAGGGCAGGAGGGAAGGATGTTATGCAGAGGGCAGGAGGGAAGGATGTTATGCAGAGGGCAGGAGGGAAGGATGTTATGCAGAGGGCAGGAGGGAAGGATGTTATGCAGAGGGCAGGAGGGAAGGATGTTATGCAGAGGGCAGGAGGGAAGGATGTTATGCAGAGGGCAGGAGGGAAGGATGTTATGCAGAGGGCAGGAGGGAAGGATGTTATGCAGAGGGCAGGAGGGAAGGATGTTATGCAGAGGGCAGGAGGGAAGGATGTTATGCAGAGGGCAGGAGGGAAGGATGTTATGCAGAGGGCAGGAGGGAAGGATGTTATGCAGAGGGCAGGAGGGAAGGATGTTATGCAGAGGGCAGGAGGGAAGGATGTTATGCAGAGGGCAGGAGGGAAGGATGTTATGCAGAGGGCAGGAGGGAAGGATGTTATGCAGAGGGCAGGAGGGAAGGATGTTATGCAGAGGGCAGGAGGGAAGGATGTTATGCAGAGGGCAGGAGGGAAGGATGTTATGCAGAGGGCAGGAGGGAAGGATGTTATGCAGAGGGCAGGAGGGAAGGATGTTATGCAGAGGGCAGGAGGGAAGGATGTTATGCAGAGGGCAGGAGGGAAGGATGTTATGCAGAGGGCAGGAGGGAAGGATGTTATGCAGAGGGCAGGAGGGAAGGATGTTATGCAGAGGGCAGGAGGGAAGGATGTTATGCAGAGGGCAGGAGGGAAGGATGTTATGCAGAGGGCAGGAGGGAAGGATGTTATGCAGAGGGCAGGAGGGAAGGATGTTATGCAGAGGGCAGGAGGGAAGGATGTTATGCAGAGGGCAGGAGGGAAGGATGTTATGCAGAGGGCAGGAGGGAAGGATGTTATGCAGAGGGCAGGAGGGAAGGATGTTATGCAGAGGGCAGGAGGGAAGGATGTTATGCAGAGGGCAGGAGGGAAGGATGTTATGCAGAGGGCAGGAGGGAAGGATGTTATGCAGAGGGCAGGAGGGAAGGATGTTATGCAGAGGGCAGGAGGGAAGGATGTTATGCAGAGGGCAGGAGGGAAGGATGTTATGCAGAGGGCAGGAGGGAAGGATGTTATGCAGAGGGCAGGAGGGAAGGATGTTATGCAGAGGGCAGGAGGGAAGGATGTTATGCAGAGGGCAGGAGGGAAGGATGTTATGCAGAGGGCAGGAGGGAAGGATGTTATGCAGAGGGCAGGAGGGAAGGATGTTATGCAGAGGGCAGGAGGGAAGGATGTTATGCAGAGGGCAGGAGGGAAGGATGTTATGCAGAGGGCAGGAGGGAAGGATGTTATGCAGAGGGCAGGGAGGGAAGGATGTTATGCAGAGGGCAGGAGGGAAGGATGTTATGCAGAGGGCAGGAGGGAAGGATGTTATGCAGAGGGCAGGAGGGAAGGATGTTATGCAGAGGGCAGGAGGGAAGGATGTTATGCAGAGGGCAGGAGGGAAGGATGTTATGCAGAGGGCAGGAGGGAAGGATGTTATGCAGAGGGCAGGAGGGAAGGATGTTATGCAGAGGGCAGGAGGGAAGGATGTTATGCAGAGGGCAGGAGGGAAGGATGTTATGCAGAGGGCAGGAGGGAAGGATGTTATGCAGAGGGCAGGAGGGAAGGATGTTATGCAGAGGGCAGGAGGGAAGGATGTTATGCAGAGGGCAGGAGGGAAGGATGTTATGCAGAGGGCAGGAGGGAAGGATGTTATGCAGAGGGCAGGAGGGAAGGATGTTATGCAGAGGGCAGGAGGGAAGGATGTTATGCAGAGGGCAGGAGGGAAGGATGTTATGCAGAGGGCAGGAGGGAAGGATGTTATGCAGAGGGCAGGAGGGAAGGATGTTATGCAGAGGGCAGGAGGGAAGGATGTTATGCAGAGGGCAGGAGGGAAGGATGTTATGCAGAGGGCAGGAGGGAAGGATGTTATGCAGAGGGCAGGAGGGAAGGATGTTATGCAGAGGGCAGGAGGGAAGGATGTTATGCAGAGGGCAGGAGGGAAGGATGTTATGCAGAGGGCAGGAGGGAAGGATGTTATGCAGAGGGCAGGAGGGAAGGATGTTATGCAGAGGGCAGGAGGGAAGGATGTTATGCAGAGGGCAGGAGGGAAGGATGTTATGCAGAGGGCAGGAGGGAAGGATGTTATGCAGAGGGGAGTAGGCAGGAGGGAAGGATGTTATGCAGAGGGCAGGAGGGAAGGATGTTATGCAGAGGGCAGGAGGGAAGGATGTTATGCAGAGGGCAGGAGGGAAGGATGTTATGCAGAGGGCAGGAGGGAAGGATGTTATGCAGAGGGCAGGAGGGAAGGATGTTATGCAGAGGGCAGGAGGGAAGGATGTTATGCAGAGGGCAGGAGGGAAGGATGTTATGCAGAGGGCAGGAGGGAAGGATGTTATGCAGAGGGCAGGAGGGAAGGATGTTATGCAGAGGGCAGGAGGGAAGGATGTTATGCAGAGGGCAGGAGGGAAGGATGTTATGCAGAGGGCAGGAGGGAAGGATGTTATGCAGAGGGCAGGAGGGAAGGATGTTATGCAGAGGGCAGGAGGGAAGGATGTTATGCAGAGGGCAGGAGGGAAGGATGTTATGCAGAGGGCAGGAGGGAAGGATGTTATGCAGAGGGCAGGAGGGAAGGATGTTATGCAGAGGGCAGGAGGGAAGGATGTTATGCAGAGGGCAGGAGGGAAGGATGTTATGCAGAGGGCAGGAGGGAAGGATGTTATGCAGGCAGGAGGGAAGGATGTTATGCAGAGGGCAGGAGGGAGGGATGTTATGCAGAGGGCAGGAGGGAAGGATGTTATGCAGAGGGCAGGAGGGAAGGATGTTATGCAGAGGGCAGGAGGGAAGGATGTTATGCAGAGGGCAGGAGGGAGGGATGTTATGCAGAGGGCAGGAGGGAGGATGTTATGCAGAGGGCAGGAGGGAAGGATGTTATGCAGAGGGTAGGAGGGAAGGATGTTATGCAGAGGGCAGGAGGGAAGGATGTTATGCAGAGGGCAGGAGGGAAGGATGTTATGCAGAGGGCAGGAGGGAAGGATGTTATGCAGAGGGCAGGAGGGAAGGATGTTATGCAGAGGGCAGGAGGGAAGGATGTTATGCAGAGGGCAGGAGGGAAGGATGTTATGCAGAGGGCAGGAGGGAAGGATGTTATGCAGAGGGCAGGAGGGAAGGATGTTATGCAGAGGGCAGGAGGGAAGGATGTTATGCAGAGGGCAGGAGGGAAGGATGTTATGCAGAGGGCAGGAGGGAAGGATGTTATGCAGAGGGCAGGAGGGAAGGATGTTATGCAGAGGGCAGGAGGGAAGGATGTTATGCAGAGGGCAGGAGGGAAGGATGTTATGCAGAGGGCAGGAGGAAGGATGTTATGCAGAGGGCAGGAGGGAAGGATGTTATGCAGAGGGCAGGAGGGAAGGATGTTATGCAGAGGGCAGGAGGGAAGGATGTTATGCAGAGGGCAGGAGGGAAGGATGTTATGCAGAGGGCAGGAGGGAAGGATGTTATGCAGAGGGCAGGAGGGAAGGATGTTATGCAGAGGGCAGGAGGGAAGGATGTTATGCAGAGGGCAGGAGGGAAGGATGTTATGCAGAGGGCAGGAGGGAGGATGTTATGCAGAGGGCAGGAGGGAGGATGTTATGCAGAGGGCAGGAGGGAAGGATGTTATGCAGAGGGCAGGAGGGAAGGATGTTATGCAGAGGGCAGGAGGGAGGGATGTTATGCAGAGGGCAGGAGGGAGGATGTTATGCAGAGGGCAGGAGGGAGGATGTTATGCAGAGGGCAGGAGGGAAGGATGTTATGCAGAGGGCAGGAGGGAAGGATGTTATGCAGAGGGCAGGAGGGAGGGATGTTATGCAGAGGGCAGGAGGGAGGATGTTATGCAGAGGGCAGGAGGGAAGGATGTTATGCAGAGGGCAGGAGGGAAGGATGTTATGCAGAGGGCAGGAGGGAAGGATGTTATGCAGAGGGCAGGAGGGAAGGATGTTATGCAGAGGGCAGGAGGGAAGGATGTTATGCAGAGGGCAGGAGGGAAGGATGTTATGCAGAGGGCAGGAGGGAAGGATGTTATGCAGAGGGCAGGAGGGAAGGATGTTATGCAGAGGGCAGGAGGGAAGGATGTTATGCAGAGGGCAGGAGGGAAGGATGTTATGCAGAGGGCAGGAGGGAAGGATGTTATGCAGAGGGCAGGAGGGAAGGATGTTAGGGGCAGGAGGAGGATGTTATGCAGAGGGCAGGAGGGAAGGATGTTATGCAGAGGGCAGGAGGGAAGGATGTTATGCAGAGGGCAGGAGGGAAGGATGTTATGCAGAGGGCAGGAGGGAAGGATGTTATGCAGAGGGCAGGAGGGAAGGATGTTATGCAGAGGGCAGGAGGGAAGGATGTTATGCAGAGGGCAGGAGGGAAGGATGTTATGCAGAGGCAGGAGGGAAGGATGTTATGCAGAGGGCAGGAGGGAAGGATGTTATGCAGAGGGCAGGAGGGAAGGATGTTATGCAGAGGGCAGGAGGGAAGGATGTTATGCAGAGGGCAGGAGGGAAGGATGTTATGCAGAGGGCAGGAGGAAGGATGTTATGCAGAGGGCAGGAGGGAAGGATGTTATGCAGAGGGCAGGAGGGAAGGATGTTATGCAGAGGGCAGGAGGGAAGGATGTTATGCAGAGGGCAGGAGGGAAGGATGTTATGCAGAGGGCAGGAGGGAAGGATGTTATGCAGAGGGCAGGAGGGAAGGATTGTTATGCAGAGGGCAGGAGGGAAGGATGTTATGCAGAGGGCAGGAGGGAAGGATGTTATGCAGAGGGCAGGAGGAAGGATGTTATGCAGAGGGCAGGAGGGAAGGATGTTATGCAGAGGGCAGGAGGGAAGGATGTTATGCAGAGGGCAGGAGGGAAGGATGTTATGCAGAGGGCAGGAGGGAAGGATGTTATGCAGAGGGCAGGAGGGAAGGATGTTATGCAGAGGGCAGGAGGGAAGGATGTTATGCAGAGGGCAGGAGGGAAGGATGTTATGCAGAGGGCAGGAGGGAAGGATGTTATGCAGAGGGCAGGAGGGAAGGATGTTATGCAGAGGGCAGGAGGGAAGGATGTTATGCAGAGGGCAGGAGGGAAGGATGTTATGCAGAGGGCAGGAGGGAAGGATGTTATGCAGAGGGCAGGAGGGAAGGATGTTATGCAGAGGGCAGGAGGGAAGGATGTTATGCAGAGGGCAGGAGGGAAGGATGTTATGCAGAGGGCAGGAGGGAAGGATGTTATGCAGAGGGCAGGAGGGAAGGATGTTATGCAGAGGGCAGGAGGGAAGGATGTTATGCAGAGGGCAGGAGGGAAGGATGTTATGCAGAGGGCAGGAGGGAAGGATGTTATGCAGAGGGCAGGAGGGAAGGATGTTATGCAGAGGGCAGGAGGGAAGGATGTTATGCAGAGGGCAGGAGGGAAGGATGTTATGCAGAGGGCAGGAGGGAAGGATGTTATGCAGAGGGCAGGAGGGAAGGATGTTATGCAGAGGGCAGGAGGGAAGGATGTTATGCAGAGGGCAGGAGGGAAGGATGTTATGCAGAGGGCAGGAGGGAAGGATGTTATGCAGAGGGCAGGAGGGAAGGATGTTATGCAGAGGGCAGGAGGGAAGGATGTTATGCAGAGGGCAGGAGGGAAGGATGTTATGCAGAGGGCAGGAGGGAAGGATGTTATGCAGAGGGCAGGAGGGAAGGATGTTATGCAGAGGGCAGGAGGGAAGGATGTTATGCAGAGGGCAGGAGGGAAGGATGTTATGCAGAGGGCAGGAGGGAAGGATGTTATGCAGAGGGCAGGAGGGAAGGATGTTATGCAGAGGGCAGGAGGGAAGGATGTTATGCAGAGGGCAGGAGGGAAGGATGTTATGCAGAGGGCAGGAGGGAAGGATGTTATGCAGAGGGCAGGAGGGAAGGATGTTATGCAGAGGGCAGGAGGGAAGGATGTTATGCAGAGGGCAGGAGGGAAGGATGTTATGCAGAGGGCAGGAGGGAAGGATGTTATGCAGAGGGCAGGAGGGAAGGATGTTATGCAGAGGGCAGGAGGGAAGGATGTTATGCAGAGGGCAGGAGGGAAGGATGTTATGCAGAGGGCAGGAGGGAAGGATGTTATGCAGAGGGCAGGAGGGAAGGATGTTATGCAGAGGGCAGGAGGGAAGGATGTTATGCAGAGGGCAGGAGGGAAGGATGTTATGCAGAGGGCAGGAGGGAAGGATGTTATGCAGAGGGCAGGAGGGAAGGATGTTATGCAGAGGGCAGGAGGGAAGGATGTTATGCAGAGGGCAGGAGGGAAGGATGTTATGCAGAGGGCAGGAGGGAGGGATGTTATGCAGAGGGCAGGAGGGAGGGATGTTATGCAGAGGGCAGGAGGGAAGGATGTTATGCAGAGGGCAGGAGGGAAGGATGTTATGCAGAGGGCAGGAGGGAAGGATGTTATGCAGAGGGCAGGAGGGGAGGATGTTATGCAGAGGGCAGGAGGGAGGGATGTTATGCAGAGGGCAGGAGGGAAGGATGTTATGCAGAGGGCAGGAGGGAAGGATGTTATGCAGAGGGCAGGAGGGAAGGATGTTATGCAGAGGGCAGGAGGGAAGGATGTTATGCAGAGGGCAGGAGGGAAGGATGTTATGCAGAGGGCAGGAGGGAAGGATGTTATGCAGAGGGCAGGAGGGAAGGATGTTATGCAGAGGGCAGGAGGGAAGGATGTTATGCAGAGGGCAGGAGGGAAGGATGTTATGCAGAGGGCAGGAGGGAAGGATGTTATGCAGAGGGCAGGAGGGAAGGATGTTATGCAGAGGGCAGGAGGGAAGGATGTTATGCAGAGGGCAGGAGGGAAGGATGTTATGCAGAGGGCAGGAGGGAAGGATGTTATGCAGAGGGCAGGAGGGAAGGATGTTATGCAGAGGGCAGGAGGGAAGGATGTTATGCAGAGGGCAGGAGGGAAGGATGTTATGCAGAGGGCAGGAGGGAAGGATGTTATGCAGAGGGCAGGAGGGAAGGATGTTATGCAGAGGGCAGGAGGGAAGGATGTTATGCAGAGGGCAGGAGGGAAGGATGTTATGCAGAGGGCAGGAGGGAAGGATGTTATGCAGAGGGGATGTTATGCAGAGGCAGGAGGAAGGATGTTATGCAGAGGGCAGGAGGGAAGGATGTTATGCAGAGGGCAGGAGGGAAGGATGTTATGCAGAGGGCAGGAGGGAAGGATGTTATGCAGAGGGCAGGAGGGAAGGATGTTATGCAGAGGGCAGGAGGGAAGGATGTTATGCAGAGGGCAGGAGGGAAGGATGTTATGCAGAGGGCAGGAGGGAAGGGATGTTATGCAGAGGGCAGGAGGGAAGGATGTTATGCAGAGGGCAGGAGGGAAGGATGTTATGCAGAGGGCAGGAGGGAAGGATGTTATGCAGAGGGCAGGAGGGAAGGATGTTATGCAGAGGGCAGGAGGAAGGATGTTATGCAGAGGGCAGGAGGGAAGGATGTTATGCAGAGGGCAGGAGGGAAGGATGTTATGCAGAGGGCAGGAGGGAAGGATGTTATGCAGAGGGCAGGAGGGAAGGATGTTATGCAGAGGGCAGGAGGAAGGATGTTATGCAGAGGGCAGGAGGGAAGGATGTTATGCAGAGGGCAGGAGGGAAGGATGTTATGCAGAGGGCAGGAGGGAAGGATGTTATGCAGAGGGCAGGAGGGAAGGATGTTATGCAGAGGGCAGGAGGGAAGGATGTTATGCAGAGGGCAGGAGGGAAGGATGTTATGCAGAGGGCAGGAGGGAAGGATGTTATGCAGAGGGCAGGAGGGAAGGATGTTATGCAGAGGGCAGGAGGGAAGGATGTTATGCAGAGGGCAGGAGGGAAGGATGTTATGCAGAGGGCAGGAGGGAAGGATGTTATGCAGAGGGCAGGAGGGAAGGATGTTATGCAGAGGGCAGGAGGGAAGGATGTTATGCAGAGGGCAGGAGGGAAGGATGTTATGCAGAGGGCAGGAGGGAAGGATGTTATGCAGAGGGCAGGAGGGAAGGATGTTATGCAGAGGGCAGGAGGGAAGGATGTTATGCAGAGGGCAGGAGGGAAGGATGTTATGCAGAGGGCAGGAGGGAAGGATGTTATGCAGAGGGCAGGAGGGAAGGATGTTATGCAGAGGGCAGGAGGGAAGGATGTTATGCAGAGGGCAGGAGGGAAGGATGTTATGCAGAGGGCAGGAGGGAAGGATGTTATGCAGAGGGCAGGAGGGAAGGATGTTATGCAGAGGGCAGGAGGGAGGGATGTTATGCAGAGGGCAGGAGGGAAGGATGTTATGCAGAGGGCAGGAGGGAAGGATGTTATTGCAGAGGGCAGGAGGGAAGGATGTTATGCAGAGGGCAGGAGGGAAGGATGTTATGCAGAGGGCAGGAGGGAAGGATGTTATGCAGAGGGCAGGAGGGAAGGATGTTATGCAGAGGGCAGGAGGGAAGGATGTTATGCAGAGGGCAGGAGGGAAGGATGTTATGCAGAGGGCAGGAGGGAAGGATGTTATGCAGAGGGCAGGAGGGAAGGATGTTATGCAGAGGGCAGGAGGGAAGGATGTTATGCAGAGGGCAGGAGGGAAGGATGTATGCAGAGGGCAGGAGGGAGGATGTTATGCAGAGGGCAGGAGGGAAGGATGTTATGCAGAGGGCAGGAGGGAAGGATGTTATGCAGAGGGCAGGAGGGAAGGATGTTATGCAGAGGGCAGGAGGGAAGGATGTTATGCAGAGGGCAGGAGGGAAGGATGTTATGCAGAGGGCAGGAGGGAAGGATGTTATGCAGAGGGCAGGAGGGAAGGATGTTATGCAGAGGGCAGGAGGGAAGGATGTTATGCAGAGGGCAGGAGGGAAGGATGTTATGCAGAGGGCAGGAGGGAAGGATGTTATGCAGAGGGCAGGAGGGAAGGATGTTATGCAGAGGGCAGGAGGGAAGGATGTTATGCAGAGGGCAGGAGGGAAGGATGTTATGCAGAGGGCAGGAGGGAAGGATGTTATGCAGAGGGCAGGAGGGAAGGATGTTATGCAGAGGGCAGGAGGGAAGGATGTTATGCAGAGGGCAGGAGGGAAGGATGTTATGCAGAGGGCAGGAGGGAAGGATGTTATGCAGAGGGCAGGAGGGAAGGATGTTATGCAGAGGGCAGGAGGGAAGGATGTTATGCAGAGGGCAGGAGGGAAGGATGTTATGCAGAGGGCAGGAGGGAAGGATGTTATGCAGAGGGCAGGAGGGAAGGATGTTATGCAGAGGGCAGGAGGGAAGGATGTTATGCAGAGGGCAGGAGGGAAGGATGTTATGCAGAGGGCAGGAGGGAAGGATGTTATGCAGAGGGCAGGAGGGAAGGATGTTATGCAGAGGGCAGGAGGGAAGGATGTTATGCAGAGGGCAGGAGGGAAGGATGTTATGCAGAGGGCAGGAGGGAAGGATGTTATGCAGAGGGCAGGAGGGAAGGATGTTATGCAGAGGGCAGGAGGGAAGGATGTTATGCAGAGGGCAGGAGGGAAGGATGTTATGCAGAGGGCAGGAGGGAAGGATGTTATGCAGAGGGCAGGAGGGAAGGATGTTATGCAGAGGGCAGGAGGGAAGGATGTTATGCAGAGGGCAGGAGGGAAGGATGTTATGCAGAGGGCAGGAGGGAAGGATGTTATGCAGAGGGCAGGAGGGAAGGATGTTATGCAGAGGGCAGGAGGGAAGGATGTTATGCAGAGGGCAGGAGGGAAGGATGTTATGCAGAGGGCAGGAGGGAAGGATGTTATGCAGAGGGCAGGAGGGAAGGATGTTATGCAGAGGGCAGGAGGGAAGGATGTTATGCAGAGGGCAGGAGGGAAGGATGTTATGCAGAGGGCAGGAGGGAAGGATGTTATGCAGAGGGCAGGAGGGAAGGATGTTATGCAGAGGGCAGGAGGGAAGGATGTTATGCAGAGGGCAGGAGGGAAGGATGTTATGCAGAGGGCAGGAGGGAAGGATGTTATGCAGAGGGCAGGAGGGAAGGATGTTATGCAGAGGGCAGGAGGGAAGGATGTTATGCAGAGGGCAGGAGGGAAGGATGTTATGCAGAGGGCAGGAGGGAAGGATGTTATGCAGAGGGCAGGAGGGAAGGATGTTATGCAGAGGGCAGGAGGGAAGGATGTTATGCAGAGGGCAGGAGGGAAGGATGTTATGCAGAGGGCAGGAGGGAAGGATGTTATGCAGAGGGCAGGAGGGAAGGATGTTATGCAGAGGGCAGGAGGGAGGGATGTTATGCAGAGGGCAGGAGGGAAGGATGTTATGCAGAGGGCAGGAGGGAAGGATGTTATGCAGAGGGCAGGAGGGAAGGATGTTATGCAGAGGGCAGGAGGGAAGGATGTTATGCAGAGGGCAGGAGGGAAGGATGTTATGCAGAGGGCAGGAGGGAAGGATGTTATGCAGAGGGCAGGAGGGAAGGATGTTATGCAGAGGGCAGGAGGGAAGGATGTTATGCAGAGGGCAGGAGGGAAGGATGTTATGCAGAGGGCAGGAGGGAAGGATGTTATGCAGAGGGGCAGGAGGGAAGGATGTTATGCAGAGGGCAGGAGGGAAGGATGTTATGCAGAGGGCAGGAGGGAAGGATGTTATGCAGAGGGCAGGAGGGAAGGATGTTATGCAGAGGGCAGGAGGGAAGGATGTTATGCAGAGGGCAGGAGGGAAGGATGTTATGCAGAGGGCAGGAGGGAAGGATGTTATGCAGAGGGCAGGAGGGAAGGATGTTATGCAGAGGGCAGGAGGGAAGGATGTTATGCAGAGGGCAGGAGGGAAGGATGTTATGCAGAGGGCAGGAGGGAAGGATGTTATGCAGAGGGCAGGAGGGAAGGATGTTATGCAGAGGGCAGGAGGAAGGATGTTATGCAGAGGGCAGGAGGGAAGGATGTTATGCAGAGGGCAGGAGGGAAGGATGTTATGCAGAGGGCAGGAGGGAAGGATGTTATGCAGAGGGCAGGAGGGAAGGATGTTATGCAGAGGGCAGGAGGGAAGGATGTTATGCAGAGGGCAGGAGGGAAGGATGTTATGCAGAGGGCAGGAGGGAAGGATGTTATGCAGAGGGCAGGAGGGAGGATGTTATGCAGAGGGCAGGAGGGAAGGATGTTATGCAGAGGGCAGGAGGGAAGGATGTTATGCAGAGGGCAGGAGGGAAGGATGTTATGCAGAGGGCAGGAGGGAAGGGATGTTATGCAGAGGGCAGGAGGAGGATGTTTATGCAGAGGGCAGGAGGGAGGATGTTATGCAGAGGGCAGGAGGGAAGGATGTTATGCAGAGGGCAGGAGGGAAGGATGTTATGCAGAGGGCAGGAGGGAAGGATGTTATGCAGAGGGCAGGAGGGAAGGATGTTATGCAGAGGGCAGGAGGGAGGGATGTTATGCAGAGGGCAGGAGGGAAGGATGTTATGCAGAGGGCAGGAGGGAAGGATGTTATGCAGAGGGCAGGAGGGAAGGATGTTATGCAGAGGGCAGGAGGGAAGGATGTTATGCAGAGGGCAGGAGGGAAGGATGTTATGCAGAGGGCAGGAGGGAAGGATGTTATGCAGAGGGCAGGAGGGAAGGATGTTATGCAGAGGGCAGGAGGGAAGGATGTTTAGGGCAGGAGGAGGATGTTATGCAGAGGGCAGGAGGGAAGGATGTTATGCAGAGGGCAGGAGGGAAGGATGTTATGCAGAGGGCAGGAGGGAAGGATGTTATGCAGAGGGCAGGAGGGAAGGATGTTATGCAGAGGGCAGGAGGGAAGGATGTTATGCAGAGGGCAGGAGGGAAGGATGTTATGCAGAGGGCAGGAGGGAAGGATGTTATGCAGAGGGCAGGAGGGAAGGATGTTATGCAGAGGGCAGGAGGGAAGGATGTTATGCAGAGGGCAGGAGGGAAGGATGTTATGCAGAGGGCAGGAGGGAAGGATGTTATGCAGAGGGCAGGAGGGAAGGATGTTATGCAGAGGGCAGGAGGGAAGGATGTTATGCAGAGGGCAGGAGGGAAGGATGTTATGCAGAGGGCAGAGGGAGGATGTTATGCAGAGGGCAGGAGGGAAGGATGTTATGCAGAGGGCAGGAGGGAAGGATGTTATGCAGAGGGCAGGGAGGGAAGGATGTTATGCAGAGGGCAGGAGGGAAGGTATGTTATGCAGAGGGTCAGGAGGGAAGGATGTTATGCAGAGGGCAGGAGGGAAGGATGTTATGCAGAGGGCAGAGGGAAGGATGTTATGCAGAGGCAGAGGAAGGATGTTATGCAGAGGGCAGGAGGGAAGGATGTTATGCAGAGGGCAGGAGGGAAGGATGTTATGCAGAGGGCAGGAGGGAAGGATGTTATGCAGAGGGCAGGAGGGAAGGATGTTATGCAGAGGGCAGGAGGGAAGGATGTTATGCAGAGGCAGGAGGGAAGGATGTTATGCAGAGGGCAGGAGGGAAGGATGTTATGCAGAGGGCAGGAGGGAAGGATGTTATGCAGAGGGCAGGAGGGAAGGATGTTATGCAGAGGGCAGGAGGGAAGGATGTTATGCAGAGGGCAGGAGGGAAGGATGTTATGCAGAGGGCAGGAGGGAAGGATGTTATGCAGAGGGCAGGAGGGAAGGATGTTATGCAGAGGGCAGGAGGGAAGGATGTTATGCAGAGGGCAGGAGGGAAGGATGTTATGCAGAGGGCAGGAGGGAAGGATGTTATGCAGAGGGCAGGAGGGAAGGATGTTATGCAGAGGGCAGGAGGGAAGGATGTTATGCAGAGGGCAGGAGGGAAGGATGTTATGCAGAGGGCAGGAGGGAAGGATGTTATGCAGAGGGCAGGAGGGAAGGATGTTATGCAGAGGGCAGGAGGGAAGGATGTTATGCAGAGGGCAGGAGGGAAGGATGTTATGCAGAGGGCAGGAGGGAAGGATGTTATGCAGAGGGCAGGAGGGAAGGATGTTATGCAGAGGGCAGGAGGGAAGGATGTTATGCAGAGGGCAGGAGGGAAGGATGTTATGCAGAGGGCAGGAGGGAAGGATGTTATGCAGAGGGCAGGAGGGAAGGATGTTATGCAGAGGGCAGGAGGGAAGGATGTATGCAGAGGGCAGGAGGGAAGGATGTTATGCAGAGGGCAGGAGGGAAGGATGTTATGCAGAGGGCAGGAGGGAAGGATGTTATGCAGAGGGCAGGAGGGAAGGATGTATGCAGAGGGCAGGAGGGAAGGATGTTATGCAGAGGGCAGGAGGGAAGGATGTTATGCAGAGGGCAGGAGGGAAGGATGTTATGCAGAGGGCAGGAGGGAAGGATGTTATGCAGAGGGCAGGAGGGAAGGATGTTATGCAGAGGGCAGGAGGGAAGGATGTTATGCAGAGGGCAGGAGGGAAGGATGTTATGCAGAGGGCAGGAGGGAAGGATGTTATGCAGAGGGCAGGAGGGAAGGATGTTATGCAGAGGGCAGGAGGGAAGGATGTTATGCAGAGGGTTATGCAGAGGGCAGGAGGGAAGATGTTATGCAGAGGGCAGGAGGGAAGGATGTTATGCAGAGGGCAGGAGGGAAGGATGTTATGCAGAGGGCAGGAGGGAAGGATGTTATGCAGAGGGCAGGAGGGAAGGATGTTATGGCAGAGGGCAGGAGGGAAGGATGGTTATGCAGAGGGCAGGAGGGAAGGATGTTATGCAGAGGGCAGGAGGGAAGGATGTTATGCCAGAGGGCAGGAGGGAAGGATGTTATGCAGAGGGCAGGAGGGAAGGATGTTATGCAGAGGGCAGGAGGGAAGGATGTTATGCAGAGGGCAGGAGGGAAGGATGTTATGCAGAGGGCAGGAGGGAAGGATGTTATGCAGAGGGCAGGAGGGAAGGATGTTATGCAGAGGCAGGAGGGAAGGATGTTATGCAGAGGGCAGGAGGAGGATGTATGCAGGAAGGGCAGGGGGAAGGCAATGTTATGCAGAGGGCAGGAGGGAAGGATGTTATGCAGAGGGCAGGAGGGAAGGATGTTATGCAGAGGGCAGGAGGGAAGGATGTTATGCAGAGGGCAGGAGGGGAAGGATGTTATGCAGAGGGCAGGAGGGAAGGATGTTATGCAGAGGGCAGGAGGGAAGGATGTTATGCAGAGGGCAGGAGGGAAGGATGTTATGCAGAGGGCAGGAGGGAAGGATGTTATGCAGAGGGCAGGAGGGAAGGATGTTATGCAGAGGGCAGGAGGGAAGGATGTTATGCAGAGGGCAGGAGGGAAGGATGTTATGCAGAGGGCAGGAGGGAAGGATGTTATGCAGAGGGCAGGAGGGAAGGATGTTATGCAGAGGGCAGGAGGGAAGGATGTTATGCAGAGGGCAGGAGGGAAGGATGTTATGCAGAGGGCAGGAGGGAAGGATGTTATGCAGAGGGCAGGAGGGAAGGATGTTATGCAGAGGGCAGGAGGGAAGGATGTTATGCAGAGGGCAGGAGGGAAGGATGTTATGCAGAGGGCAGGAGGGAAGGATGTTATGCAGAGGGCAGGAGGGAAGGATGTTATGCAGAGGGCAGGAGGGAAGGATGTTATGCAGAGGGCAGGAGGGAAGGATGTTATGCAGAGGGCAGGAGGGAAGGATGTTATGCAGAGGGCAGGAGGGAAGGATGTTATGCAGAGGGCAGGAGGGAAGGATGTTATGCAGAGGGCAGGAGGGAAGGATGTTATGCAGAGGGCAGGAGGGAAGGATGTTATGCAGAGGGCAGGAGGGAAGGATGTTATGCAGAGGGCAGGAGGGAAGGATGTTATGCAGAGGGCAGGAGGGAAGGATGTTATGCAGAGGGCAGGAGGGAAGGATGTTATGCAGAGGGCAGGAGGGAAGGATGTTATGCAGAGGGCAGGAGGGAAGGATGTTATGCAGAGGGCAGGAGGGAAGGATGTTATGCAGAGGGCAGGAGGGAAGGATGTTATGCAGAGGGCAGGAGGGAAGGATGTTATGCAGAGGGCAGGAGGGAAGGATGTTATGCAGAGGGCAGGAGGGAAGGATGTTATGCAGAGGGCAGGAGGGAAGGATGTTATGCAGAGGGCAGGAGGGAAGGATGTTATGCAGAGGGCAGGAGGGAAGGATGTTATGCAGAGGGCAGGAGGGAAGGATGTTATGCAGAGGGCAGGAGGGAAGGATGTTATGCAGAGGGCAGGAGGGAAGGATGTTATGCAGAGGGCAGGAGGGAAGGATGTTATGCAGAGGGGCAGGAGGGAAGGATGTTATGCAGAGGGCAGGAGGGAAGGATGTTATGCAGAGGGCAGGAGGGAAGGATGTTATGCAGAGGGCAGGAGGGAAGGATGTTATGCAGAGGGCAGGAGGGAAGGATGTTATGCAGAGGGCAGGAGGGAAGGATGTTATGCAGAGGGCAGGAGGGAAGGATGTTATGCAGAGGGCAGGAGGGAAGGATGTTATGCAGAGGGCAGGAGGGAAGGATGTTATGCAGAGGGCAGGAGGGAAGGATGTTATGCAGAGGGCAGGAGGGAAGGATGTTATGCAGAGGGCAGGAGGGAAGGATGTTATGCAGAGGGCAGGAGGGAAGGATGTTATGCAGAGGGCAGGAGGGAAGGATGTTATGCAGAGGGCAGGAGGGAAGGATGTTATGCAGAGGGCAGGAGGGAAGGATGTTATGCAGAGGGCAGGAGGGAAGGATGTTATGCAGAGGGCAGGAGGGAAGGATGTTATGCAGAGGGCAGGAGGGAAGGATGTTATGCAGAGGGCAGGAGGGAAGGATGTTATGCAGAGGGCAGGAGGGAAGGATGTTATGCAGAGTGGCAGGAGGGAAGGGATGTTATGCAGAGGGCAGGAGGGAAGGATGTTATGCAGAGGGCAGGAGGGAAGGATGTTATGCAGAGGGCAGGAGGGAAGGATGTTATGCAGAGGGCAGGAGGGAAGGATGTTATGCAGAGGGCAGGAGGGAAGGATGTTATGCAGAGGGCAGGAGGGAAGGATGTTATGCAGAGGGCAGGAGGGAAGGATGTTATGCAGAGGGCAGGAGGGAAGGATGTTATGCAGAGGGCAGGAGGGAAGGATGTTATGCAGAGGGCAGGAGGGAAGGATGTTATGCAGAGGGCAGGAGGGAAGGATGTTATGCAGAGGGCAGGAGGGAAGGATGTTATGCAGAGGGCAGGAGGGAAGGATGTTATGCAGAGGGCAGGAGGGAAGGATGTTATGCAGAGGGCAGGAGGGAAGGATGTTATGCAGAGGGCAGGAGGGAAGGATGTTATGCAGAGGGCAGGAGGGAAGGATGTTATGCAGAGGGCAGGAGGGAAGGATGTTATGCAGAGGGCAGGAGGGAAGGATGTTATGCAGAGGGCAGGAGGGAGGGATGTTATGCAGAGGGCAGGAGGGAAGGGATGTTATGCAGAGGGCAGGAGGGAAGGATGTTATGCAGAGGGCAGGAGGGAAGGATGTTATGCAGAGGGCAGGAGGGAAGGATGTTATGCAGAGGGCAGGAGGGAAGGATGTTATGCAGAGGGCAGGAGGAGGATGTTATGCAGAGGGCAGGAGGGAAGGATGTTATGCAGAGGGCAGGAGGGAAGGATGTTATGCAGAGGGCAGGAGGGAAGGATGTTATGCAGAGGGCAGGAGGGAAGGATGTTATGCAGAGGGCAGGAGGGAAGGATGTTATGCAGAGGGCAGGAGGGAAGGATGTTATGCAGAGGGCAGGAGGGAAGGATGTTATGCAGAGGGCAGGAGGGAAGGATGTTATGCAGAGGGCAGGAGGGAAGGATGTTATGCAGAGGGCAGGAGGGAAGGATGTTATGCAGAGGGCAGGAGGGAAGGATGTTATGCAGAGGGCAGGAGGGAAGGATGTTATGCAGAGGGCAGGAGGGAAGGATGTTATGCAGAGGGCAGGAGGGAAGGATGTTATGCAGAGGGCAGGAGGGAAGGATGTTATGCAGAGGGCAGGAGGGAAGGATGTTATGCAGAGGGCAGGAGGGAAGGATGTTATGCAGAGGGCAGGAGGGAAGGATGTTATGCAGAGGGCAGGAGGGAAGGATGTTATGCAGAGGGCAGGAGGGAGGATGTTATGCAGAGGGCAGGAGGGAAGGATGTTATGCAGAGGGCAGGAGGGAAGGATGTTATGCAGAGGGCAGGAGGGAAGGATGTTATGCAGAGGGCAGGAGGGAAGGATGTTATGCAGAGGGCAGGAGGGAGGATGTTATGCAGAGGGCAGGAGGGAGGGATGTTATGCAGAGGGCAGGAGGGAAGGATGTTATGCAGAGGGCAGGAGGGAAGGATGTTATGCAGAGGGCAGGAGGGAAGGATGTTATGCAGAGGGCAGGAGGGAAGGATGTTATGCAGAGGGCAGGAGGGAAGGATGTTATGCAGAGGGCAGGAGGGAAGGATGTTATGCAGAGGGCAGGAGGGAAGGGATGTTATGCAGAGGGCAGGAGGGAAGGATGTTATGCAGAGGGCAGGAGGGAAGGATGTTATGCAGAGGGCAGGAGGGAAGGATGTTATGCAGAGGGCAGGAGGGAAGGATGTTATGCAGAGGGCAGGAGGGAAGGATGTTATGCAGAGGGCAGGAGGGAAGGATGTTATGCAGAGGGCAGGAGGGAAGGATGTTATGCAGAGGGCAGAGGGAAGGATGTTATGCAGAGGGCAGGAGGGAAGGATGTTATGCAGAGGGCAGGAGGGAAGGATGTTATGCAGAGGGCAGGAGGGAAGGATGTTATGCAGAGGGCAGGAGGGAAGGATGTTATGCAGAGGGCAGGAGGGAAGGATGTTATGCAGAGGGCAGGAGGGAAGGATGTTATGCAGAGGGCAGGAGGGAAGGATGTTATGCAGAGGGCAGGAGGGAAGGATGTTATGCAGAGGGCAGGAGGGAAGGATGTTATGCAGAGGGCAGGAGGGAGGGATGTTATGCAGAGGGCAGGAGGGAAGGGATGTTATGCAGAGGGCAGGAGGGAGGATGTTATGCAGAGGGCAGGAGGGAAGGATGTTATGCAGAGGGCAGGAAGGAAGGATGTTATGCAGAGGGCAGGAGGGAGGGATGTTATGCAGAGGGCAGGAGGGAGGGATGTTATGCAGAGGGCAGGAGGGAAGGATGTTATGCAGAGGGCAGGAGGGAAGGATGTTATGCAGAGGGCAGGAGGGAAGGATGTTATGCAGAGGGCAGGAGGGAAGGATGTTATGCAGAGGGCAGGAGGGAGGGATGTTATGCAGAGGCAGGAGGAGCTAGCAGAGGGCAGGAGGAGGATGTTATGCAGAGGGCAGGAGGGAGGGATGTTATGCAGAGGGCAGGAGGGAAGGATGTTATGCAGAGGGCAGGAGGGAAGGATGTTATGCAGAGGGCAGGAGGGAGGGATGTTATGCAGAGGGCAGGAGGGAGGGATGTTATGCAGAGGGCAGGAGGGAGGGATGTTATGCAGAGGGCAGGAGGGAAGGATGTTATGCAGAGGGCAGGAGGGAAGGATGTTATGCAGAGGGCAGGAGGGAAGGATGTTATGCAGAGGGCAGGAGGGAGGGATGTATGCAGAGGGCAGGAGGGAAGGATGTTATGCAGAGGGCAGGAGGGAAGGATGTTATGCAGAGGGCAGGAGGAAGGATGTTATGCAGAGGGCAGGAGGGAGGGATGTTATGCAGAGGGCAGGAGGGAAGGATGTTATGCAGAGGGCAGGAGGGAAGGATGTTATGCAGAGGGCAGGAGGGAGGATGTTATGCAGAGGGCAGGAGGGAAGGATGTTATGCAGAGGGCAGGAGGGAAGGGATGTTATGCAGAGGGCAGGAGGGAGGGATGTTATGCAGAGGGCAGGAGGGAAGGATGTTATGCAGAGGGCAGGAGGGAAGGATGTTATGCAGAGGGCAGGAGGGAAGGATGTTATGCAGAGGGCAGGAGGGAAGGATGTTATGCAGAGGGCAGGAGGGAAGGATGTTATGCAGAGGGCAGGAGGGAAGGATGTTATGCAGAGGGCAGGAGGGAAGGATGTTATGCAGAGGGCAGGAGGGAAGGATGTTTATGCAGAGGGCAGGAGGGAAGGATGTTATGCAGAGGGCAGGAGGGAAGGATGTTATGCAGAGGGCAGGAGGGAAGGATGTTATGCAGAGGGCAGGAGGGAAGGATGTTATGCAGAGGGCAGGAGGGAAGGATGTTATGCAGAGGGCAGGAGGGAAGGATGTTATGCAGAGGGCAGGAGGGAAGGATGTTATGCAGAGGGCAGGAGGGAAGGATGTTATGCAGAGGGCAGGAGGGAAGGATGTTATGCAGAGGGCAGGAGGGAAGGGATGTTATGCAGAGGGCAGGAGGGAAGGATGTTATGCAGAGGGCAGGAGGGAAGGATGTTATGCAGAGGGCAGGAGGGAAGGATGTTATGCAGAGGGCAGGAGGGAAGGATGTTATGCAGAGGGCAGGAGGGAAGGATGTTATGCAGAGGGCAGGAGGGAAGGATGTTATGCAGAGGGCAGGAGGGAAGGATGTTATGCAGAGGGCAGGAGGGAAGGATGTTATGCAGAGGGCAGGAGGGAAGGATGTTATGCAGAGGGCAGGAGGGAAGGATGTTATGCAGAGGGCAGGAGGGAAGGATGTTATGCAGAGGGCAGGAGGGAAGGATGTTATGCAGAGGGCAGGAGGGAAGGATGTTATGCAGAGGGCAGGAGGGAAGAATGTTATGCAGAGGGCAGGAGGGAAGGATGTTATGCAGAGGGCAGGAGGGAAGGATGTTATGCAGAGGGCAGGAGGGAAGGATGTTATGCAGAGGGCAGGAGGGAAGGATGTTATGCAGAGGGCAGGAGGGAAGGATGTTATGCAGAGGGCAGGAGGGGAAGGATGCAATGAAAAGAACGAGGGGAAGGATGGAATGTAGGGGAGGAGGGGAGGATGCAATATAGAGGGAAGGAGGGTAAGGATATGCAATGGAGAGGGGGGGAGGGAAAGGATGCAATCAAGAGCAGGAGGGAAAGGATGCAATATAGTGGGAGGGAGGGAAAGGCTATGCAATGGAGAGGGGAGGAGGGAAAGGATGCAACGGAATGAGGGAAAGGACACAATCAGGGAGGGAGGGAAAGGACGCAATCAGGGAAGGAGAGAAAGGAGGGAAAGGACGCAATCAAGGGAAGGAGGGAAAGGATGCAATCAAGGGAAGGAGGGAAAGGATGCAATCAAGGGAAGGAGGGAAAGGATGCAATCAAGGGAAGGAGGGAAATGATGCTATCAAGAGGGAGGGAGGAAAAGGATGCAATCAAGAGGGAGGGAGGAAAAGGATGCAATCAAGAGGGAGGGAGGAAAAGGATGCAATCAAGAGGGAGGGAGGAAAAGGATGCAATCAAGAGGGAGGGAGGAAAAGGATGCAATCAAGAGGGAGGGAGGAAAAGGATGCAATCAAGAGGGAGGGAGGAAAAGGATGCAATCAAGAGGGAGGGAGGAAAAGGATGCAATCAAGAGGGAGGGAGGAGAAGGATGCAATCAAGAGGGAGGGAGGAAAAGGATGCAATCAAGAGGGAGGGAGGAAAATGATGCAATCAAGAGGGAGGGAGGAAAATGATGCAATCAAGAGGGAGGGAGGAAAATGATGCAATCAAGAGGGAGGGAGGAAAAGGATGCAATCAAGAGGGAGGGAGGAAAAGGATATGATAATTTTTGAAAGTGTAATGAAATGTAACACTTTCTAAAAAATTGTACTGTGAAAAAGGGTATCTGGCCAACACAGCAAAGGTAGCGCCGAAACGCTACTCACCCTCTTTTGCTTACAAAAGAAGGACGTGAGGACATTCGTCCCCACCCACGTTTTCATTTCTGAAATTGTAGTTCTAATTTCGTTCTCGTCTACACTGGCGAAGACTCAATCGCTTCCGCGCTTCACGGCCCCGTCAACACTCCTTAACGACATCCGTAAGCGCAACCTCGCAACGATGGCTCCGGTTAACCTGGCACTTAACCGCGACAACTCGAATATTTCAAGCCCCGGTAACGCGGCGGAAACCTCGACTCCGGCCGGGACAACGGATCGTCGCAGAAAACGCCCCGCCGAAGAATTTTCAATCGAGGGACCTTCGGCGGTCGACCTCCTGCTCGGAGGCACCCTTCAGACCCCCCCTAAGAAACGCGCGACTGTTGTACAGTCGCGCGTGGCTGCTGCTGAAGAGCGCGTGCCTGGTAGGCACGCGCGTGCCACGCAGAAGTCGACGACCGCCGCTGACGCAGGTCCATCCGGGCCCACGAACCAGAAACGTCAGCGCGCGGCACCCTCCGCTGACTTCACGCCGGTCAACGCCCCCCCCCCCCCCCCCCCATTTGACTACGCAGCAGCTGCAGGCGCTGCTCTCGTCATTGCAGCAGCACGCGCCATCGACTACAGCTACATCGACCGAAGATATTTCTGCTTCCGCTAAAATTGAAAAGCAAAAGGAACCTGTCATGCCCCTCCGCTCCACCAAGGTCGCTCGCACCAACAACATTGCTCCTGCTCCCGCCCCGGCTCCGGCACCAACCCACGCCCGTATCCACGACGACAGCGACGACTCGGAAAATGAAGACGGTGAGGCCCCCGACAACCTTGCTCGCCAAATTCTCGCACCCGCACCCCCCCTCCCCCCCCTCAACCCTACACCCGCATCTACTACCTTCATGCGCAAGGGAGTGCGTGACCAGGCGGAGGTGTTCTCTGCAATTCAAGCTCACCTGAGGCACGTCGAGTTCAAGCTCCAACACGGCGACGTCGAGGGCGCGCTCTCCAACGTGGCGCAAGTCGAAACGTTGATCAACAAACGTTTCGAGGTGCTCTTGGTGGCGGATGAGGCCGGTTTCGAGGCGGCGGATCGGTTCCAGCTGTACCAAGCCAAGAGCGTGCTCACGTCCCGCTCTTACAAGCTTGCGCTAGCCGACGTGGCGGCCCTCAAGCGTGCACGCACCGGCTTCGCCCGCGGAGGCCGCCTTCCCGCTCGAGACGGCGAACCGGAAAGCAAAGGCATGCCGCCCGCGGGCTGCCACGAGCCCCGCTTCAAGGGAGTGTGTTTTCGTTGCGGCCAGACCGGCCATATGGCAAACAATTGCTCTATGGGAGGGCGTGGAGCACAAGGTCCCGCACCCGTGGTATGAGAGGACCCATGGGGCGGCGCACCTTGCCACTATGCCATGGGGCGTAGGTGGATGCACCGGTGGTGCGTAGGTTGGTTAGGAGCCTTGGAGAGTAGCATAGGCCATGAGGGTCAGGACAAAATGGCAGCCGTAGGGGCTGGTTATGGTGTAGGACTAGGCTTGTATGCCTTTGTGTGGATTAATAAAAGAATATTGTTACTAAAAAATAAAAAAAGGGAGAGAGAAAGAGACCAAGTGGGAGTTGGCACAGGTAAGGGCAGGCCCAAGCGGAAGGAGGCACGTGCGACAATCTTGATGTAAGGCAATCTCCAAAAACACACACACACACACGCACGCACGCACGCACGCACGCACGCACGCACGCACGCACGCACACACACACACACACACACAAAACCCCTGGAATGGCGTCATGGCTGACGATGGTAAAAGGAAGTGTTAAAAAAAAAAAAAAAAAAAAAAAAAAAAAAAAAAAAAAAAAAAAAAACGGGGGTGCGGGGAGGCGCGAAGGCGGTAACAAGCGAGCGACATAGTTTGCCCCGCAAAGCGTCTCGATAAATCTCGCGTCTAATCGACCTTGGTCCTCGTTCCCGCCCCACAACCTCGGTTGCCAACCAATTGCAGAAGTGGAAGGCAAGTGGCAGAGTGCTCACTGGGACCCATACGAGCACGCAATAACAGACAACATGGTGTCCATCATGCGAATGCGATTGCGCAACAGCCTCCACTGGTGGCTATCATGGTGCGATAGCAGTCTTATCCTTTCCATCATTGCCAAAGAGTACTGGCTACCATGGAAGGGCGCGGAGCCTCTCCACTTCGAAGCTCCCAATCACGCAGGGGTTCAAGCACACATGGCATCTACCCAAGACGCTGTCAGCGATCTCATCACGTCAGGCGCCGCGATAAATGTCACGTCGAAAGCCGCACTTACGTGCATCAGCCCGCTCAACATTGTGGAGCAATGTGACAAATGTCGGCTCATCCTTGACCTGCGGAAGGTCAACGCTCACCTCCAAGTTCCCAAGTTCAAGTACGAGGGCTTGAGTCGGGTCGCGGGGATCATTCGCCCAAGCGACTGGATCTTCACAATCGATCTCAAGTCAGGCTACCACCACGTCGAAATCCACCCATCGTGCTGGAAGTTTTTAGGCTTTCGATTGGGTGGAAAGTCCTATTGCTTCACATCCTTACCTTTCGACCTGGCAACAGCCCCGTTCGTCTTCACCCAGCTTATTAAGCAACTAACAAAGAGATGGCGCGCACGCAAAGTGCGCGTAATACCATACGTGGACGATTTACTATTACTTTGCAACTCCGAGGCGCAAGCCGGTTCGACGTGCATCGAAGTTCTCCACGACCTGAAGACGGCATGATTCGTGATCATTTCTAAGAAATCAAACCAGCATCCCGCACACCACTTGCGCTTTTTGGGGACGGAGCTTGACACGGAACGAGAAATGTTCCTCGTCGGAAAAGATCGGCGCGAGCAACTACTGCAGGAGCCCCACCTACCCATACAAAAAGGGCAATCGGGTCGACAAGTGCCGATTCGCAAGATAGCCCGTATCACTGGATTTCTCAGCTCCATGTCGCTCGCGCTAGGCACTGTCAACGGGAGTGAAGTGTTGGCCCGGCCCTCGCTTGGGCAACGCCGACGACTTGGTCGGATGTACGGGAGTAGCAGCCGACCGTCCACAGTGGGAGAGCTGCTCGATAGGCTTCGTCGAGCTGCAGGGGACCGCTATGGTGTTGCTGTCGACCAGGGAGCTTGACAGCTACAACTGACTGGTCTGGGCGACGGGTGGGCCGTCAACCAGGAGGGGCTGTTCGACCGGGAGGTCGACGGAGCAGTCCGTCGACCTGAGAAGTGAGTAGCTGTCGACGAGGGGAGCTCGTCGACAACAGTTGACAGTTCTGGTCGACGGAATGGGTCCGTCGACCAAGGGGGTAGCTCGACAGGAGTTGTGGTCGGCCAGGGGTACCTGGTGGTCGACCAGAGGGACCCGGTGGTCAACCAGAGGCACTTGGGGTTGTCCAGGTTGACCGGGTAATCTGCTCAACGAGTTCTGCGGAGGCACGCAAACGTCGTCGAGGTCGTGATGGCAAAGGCGACTTCGGGTTGGTATCCCGAAGTCGATGTGGCACGTCAGGCGCAGACAACAGCCGACGAATGCACAACGGTGCAAGTCGGGCCAATCGTCTGCGTGCATCTGCGAGCGTGCGCACTGCTGTCTTCTACGGGGCAACGCTGGACAGCCGCTCTGCTGCAACGTTGGCACACCATCGACCTGTTGTGTTGGCAGGCTGCCTTTCTGCAGTGCTGGCGCGGCTCCTCTACGCAACGCTGGCAGGCGGTCGACCATGCTGTGCTGTCTGTCGACCAGGCTAGCTGCAGGGTTGCTAGGTGCCTGATGTAGTCATTCTTGTCATTGATTGTTCAACAGTTGTGTAATCCCAACTTTGCTAGTGGAAACTCTTGCCAATTTCTCCCGTGATTGTGCAAGCACTAAGGAACTAGGCAAAGCTACGATCACTCATAGTAGTTCATGCCAACCCCCCGTAGTCTATCTCACTACCGTTGTAGAGTGAATCTCCGCAGGCACGACGGCGCGTGCCTTCAGCCATGAGCTGCTGCACTTGATCGACTCCGCGTGGTCATAGAACTCGAATGTTGTATTGTCACCAGGAGCGACAGAGGAGCTGTTGTTTTGGACAATGCACTTCGATCGTTTCAATGGCGCCACATTCCACCAGAGTCAACGTTTTGATGCCATGATCCACGTCGACGCAAGCGCACACATCTGGGGTGCCACCTTGGCCAAGTTCCCAAGTACATCATGCGAAGCAAGCGAGTGCATGCCACGAGGGCTTCTCGCCACATCCAGTACGCGACGAGAGCTCGAGGGAGTGCTCTGGGCACTGCGGACGTTCGCAACCCGGATCGCGGGTGCTCATGTCCTCGTCCGGGTGGACAACCAGGCAGTCATGTTCATCTTGCGCAAGGGGGGATCCCGTCAGGCGGACCTTACTTTGACATGCCAAGCGATCATCCAGTTCTGCCTCGGCAACACAACACGCCTCGCGATCGAATGGATTCCAAGAGAGCTCAACGTCCATGCGGATGACCTATCCAAGATGCAAGATTATGACGACTAGTCCCTACATGTACCTTGGTTTCGCCTCTTGGAACGCCGCTGGGGGCCCCACACAATTGACCTCTTTGTTAACGTTTGGAACAATCACGTCCAGCACTTCTGCTCCAAGATACCGCACCCCGACGTGTTCGCTGTCGACGCATTTTCCATCTCATGGAAAGGCGAGCGAAGCTTTGCCTTCCCGCCTCCACACTTAATTCCCGCTACACTCCGCCATGCGAAACTTTCGCAGACAGAACTCACGCTGGTAGTTCCCCAGTGGACCGGAGCGTCATGGTGGCCGCTCCTCCAACCGTCCACTCAATCGTGGGCTCCAGCAGTAGTAGAGCACCTTTCCCTTGCCCAAGGCAGTAAATGTCTTCGGGCAGGTTCACACACCACTGCATTTTCTGGTCTCGGATTGCCTCATAGCCCAATCATTGGTTTGCGTGTAAACTATGCAGTCTAATATAAATCTATCAATGTTTCATTTCAGGACTTTTGGCCAAACTACAGCAACAATTGATGCACGTAATTAGCCACGTTCGCGCACCATCTACAATCGAGACGTATCAACCTTATTGGCAGAGATTTTGCACCTTCTGTACCCAAGTCAAGCTCGAGTTCCTACCGGCAACCGACCTGACGCTAGCGCTGTATCTCATCCATGCGCTCAACAACAAAGCAACTCTCTCCGCGATCAACCTCACATGTTCGGCAGTAGCCTTCGCTCACATAACAGGCGAAACCTCCCCTACCGTCGCTCCATTCACCCTGCAAGTGCGGGAGTTCGCCAAGAGACATGGTCCCCGGCCTGCAAGGACCAAAGAACCCATATCTCTCCATCAAATGAACAACGTGGCCCGTCCCTTCCTCGAATCATCGATTCCGGCGGAATACCAGAAAGGATTGATTCCTCTTCTCATGTTTCGGCATTCTTGCGCTACTCTAACCTCGTATCGCTCCAATGGAATGATGTACAGTTCGAGGAGAAGGCAATGTGGCTGCTCATCCCGCACTCCAAGACGGACGAGGAAGGGAGAGGTGTCTGGATCCCAGTGGCAGCAATTCCAGGCCCATACTGCCCGGTGAGGTGCACACGCAAATTCATACGCATCGCAGGCCTCACAAAGGTGCCACATGGACCGCTGATAAGGGTTTTCCCAAAGAACTCGCAAGCCACACCGAACGACAACTCGCCATCCTACGTCACGATCAGAAACTGGTGTTTCGCGGCCGGCAGGCAGGCTGGACTGGATGTCGCGCACATCGGAACCCACTCATTCCGCAAAGGTGCAGCCACCGCGGCGGCAAGCCTCGGAGTTCCTGACCGGCTCTTCAAACGCATGGGCCGACGGCACAGCGACAGCGCGAATGAGATGTACGTTATAATCGCACAGGATCAGCTCATCTCCCTCTCCACGCAGTTGCAGGATCCTTCGACGGCTCCCTCACCCGCCACGCATCAGCTATCAATCGAACGGCACCGCCAGCCCTGACTGCACTTGCCTCAGAAGACCCATATGAAATGATAACACCGTCTTTGCAAGTCAGCCTAAGTAGACTTTCATAATATGATAAATTTTGAAAGTGTAATGAAATGTAACACTTAAAATTTTGTATTGTGAAAAGGGGTACGTGGCCAACACAGCAAAAGTAGCGCCGAAGCGCTACTCACCCTCTTTTGCATACAAAAGAGGGACGTGGGGACATTCGTCCCCACCTACGTTTTCATTTCCGAATTGTTAGTTCTAATTTCCCACCCGCCCACCCATTTGTGCATGCTGTTATGTAGACCTATATATGACAAGAACGATGTACTACGACCCATATGAAATGATAACGCTGCCCCATATGAAATGATAATGCTGCCCCATATGAAATGATAACACTGCCTTTGCAAGTCAGCCTAAGTAGACTTTCACAATGCAATCAAGAGGGAAGGAGGAAAAGAAAGCAATCAAGAGGGAGGCAGGAAAAGGATGCAATCAAGAGGGAAGGAGGAAAAGGATGCAATCAAGAGGGAGGCAGGAAAAGGATGCAATCAATAGGGAAAGAGGGAGGGAGGAAAAGGATGCAATCAATAGGGCAGGAGGAAGAGGATGCAATCAAGAGGGCGGGAGAAAGAAGATGCAATCAAGAGGGAGGGAGGAAGAGGAGGCAATGAAGAGGGAGGGAAGAAGAGGAGGCAATGAAGAGGGAGGAAGGAAGAGGAGGCAATGAAGAGGGAGGGAGGAAGTGGAGGCAATGAAGAGGGAGGGAGGAAGAGGAGGCAATGAAGAGGGAGGGAGGAAGAGGAGGCAAAACGAAGAGGGAGGGAGGAAGAGGGGCGCAACGAAGAGGGGCGGAGGAAGACGGGCGCAACAAAGAGGGAGGGAGGAAGAGGGGCGCAACGAAGAGGGGCGGGGGGAGAGGGGCGCAACGAAGAGGGGCGGGGGAAGAGGGGCGCAACGAAGAGGGGCGGGGGAAGAGGGGCGCAACGAAGAGGGGCGGGGGAAGAGGGGCGGAACAAAGAGGGGCGGAGGAAGAGGGGCGGAACGAAGAGGGGCGGAGGAAGAAGGGCGGAACGAAGAGGGGCGGGGGAAGAGGGGCAGAACGAAGAGGGGCGGGGGAAGAGGGGCGCAACGAAGAGGGGCGGGGGAAGAGGGGCGCAACGAAGAGGGGCGGGGGAAGAGGGGCGGAACGAAGAGGGGCGGAGGAAGAGGGGCGCAACGAAAAGGGGCGGAGGAAGAGGGGCGCAACGAAGAGGGGCGGGGGAAGAGGGGCGGAACGAAGAGGAGCGGGGGAAGAGGGGCGCAACGAAGAGGGGCGGAGGAAAAGGGGCGCAACAAAGAGAGGCGGAGGAAGAGGGGCGCAACGAAGAGGGGCGGAGGAAGAGGGGTGCAATGAAGAGGGGCGGAGGAAGACGGGCGCAACGAAGAGGGGCGGAGGAAGAGGGGTGGAACGAAGAGGGGCGGAGGAAGAGGGGCGGAACGAAGAGGGGCAGAGGAAGAGGGGCGGAGGAAGAGGGGCGCAACGAAGAGGGGCGGAGGAAGAGGAGTGCAACGAAGAGGGGCGGGGGAAGAGGGGCGCAACGAAGAGGGGCGGGGGGAGAGGGGCGGAACGAAGAGGGGCGGAGGAAGAGGGGCGGAACGAAGAGGGGCAGAGGAAGAGGGGCGGAACGAAGAGGGGCGGGGGAAGAGGGGCGCAACGAAGAGGGGCGGGGGAAGAGGGGCGGAACGAAGAGGGGCGGGGGAGGAGGGCCGCAACGAAGAGGGGCGGGGGAAGAGGGGCGGAGGAAAAGGGGCGCAAGGAAGAGGGGCGGAGGAAGAGGGGCGCAACGAAGAGGGGCGGAGGAAGAGGGGCGCAATGAAGAGGGGCGGAGGAAGACGGGCGCAACGAAGAGGGGCGGAGGAAGAGGGGCGCAACGAAGAGGGGCGGAGGAAGACGGGCGCAACGAAGAGGGTCGGGGGAAGAGGGGCGGAACGAAGAGGGGCGGGGGAAGAGGGGCGCAACGAAGAGGGGCGGGGGAAGAGGGGCGGAACGAAGAGGGGCGGAGGAAGAGGGGCGCAACGAAAAGGGGCGGAGGAAGAGGGGCGCAACGAAGAGGGGCGGGGGAAGAGGGGCGCAACGAAGAGGGGCGGAGGAAGAGGGGCGGAACGAAGAGGGGCGGGGGCAGAGGGGCGGAACGAAGAGGGGCGGGGGAAGAGGGGCGCAACGAAGAGGGGCGGAGGAAGAGGGGCGCAACGAAGAGGGGCGGAGGAAGAGGGGCGCAACGAAGAGGGGCGGAGGAAGACGGGCGCAACGAAGAGGGGCGGAGGAAGAGGGGCGGAACGAAGAGGGGCGGAGGAAGAGGGGCGGAACGAAGAGGGGCGGAGGAAGAGGGGCGGAGGAAGAGGGGCGCAACGAAGAGGGGCGGAGGAAGAGGAGCGCAACGAAGAGGGGCAGGGGAAGAGGGGCGCAACGAAGAGGGGCGGCGGAAGAGGGGCGCAACGAAGAGGGGCGGAGGAAGAGGGGCGGAACGAAGAGGGGCGGAACGAAGAGGTGCGGAACGAAGAGGGGCGGGGGAAGAGGGGCGGAATGAAGAGGGGCGGAGGAAGAGGGGCGGAACGAAGAGGGGCGGGGGAAGAGGGGCGGAACGAAGAGGGGCGGGGGAAGAGGGGCGCAATGAAGAGGGGCGGTGGAAGAGGGGCGCAACGAAGAGGGGCGGAGGAAGAGGGGCGCAACGAAGAGGGGCGGAGGAAGACGGGCGCAACGAAGAGGGGCGGGGGAAGAGGGGCGGGGGAAGAGGGGCGCAACGAAGAGGGGCGGAGGCAGAGGGGCGCAACGAAGAGGGGCGGAGGAAGAGGGGCGCAACGAAGAGGGGCGGAGGAAGAGGGGCGCAATGAAGAGGGGCGGAGGAAGACGGGCGCAACGAAGAGGGGCGGAGGAAGAGGGGCGGAACGAAGAGGGGCGGAGGAAGAGGGGCGGAACGAAGAGGGGCGGAGGAAGAGGGGCGGAGGAAGAGGGGCGCAACGAAGAGGGGCGGAGAAAGAGGGGCGCGACGAAGAGGGGCGGGGGAAGAGGGGCAGAACGAAGAGGGGCGGGGGAAGAGGGGCGGAACGAAGAGGGGCGGGGGAAGAGGGGCGGAACGTAGAGGGGCGGGGGAAGAGGGGCGCAATGAAGAGGGGCGGTGGAAGAGGGGCGCAACGAAGAGGGGCGGAGGAAGAGGGGCGCAACGAAGAGGGGCGGAGGAAGACGGGCGCAACGAAGAGGGGCGGGGGAAGAGGGGCGCAACGAAGAGGGGCGGAGGAAGAGGGGCGGAACGAAGAGGGGCGGAGGAAGAGGGGCGGAGGAAGAGGAGCGCAACGAAGAGGGGCGGGGGAAGAGGGGCGCGACGAAGAGGGGCGGGGGAAGAGGGGCAGAACGAAGAGGGGCGGGGGAAGAGGGGCGGAACGAAGAGGGGCGGGGGAAGAGGGGCGGGGGAAGAGGGGCGCAACGAAGAGGGGCGGAGGCAGAGGGGCGCAACGAAGAGGGGCGGAGGAAGAGGGGCGCAACGAAGAGGGGCGGAGGAAGAGGGGCGCAATGAAGAGGGGCGGAGGAAGACAGGCGCAACGAAGAGGGGCGGAGGAAGAGGGGCGGAACGAAGAGGGGCGGAGGAAGAGGGGCGGAACGAAGAGGGGCGGAGGAAGAGGGGCGGAGGAAGAGGGGCGCAACGAAGAGGGGCGGAGAAAGAGGAGCGCAACGAAGAGGGGCGGGGGAAGAGTGTTAGAATATCTCTCCTCTTGTAACCTGCATATATGCTATAGGATAGGCTAGAGATAAGCACCCAAACTTAGTTTGGGTGTACAAACAGGGGTAACCCAGTTTGTAGGTTGGAACCCAACCTTGGTCCAATTATTGGACACCAAAAGGTTGGGTTGGGTAGAATTATTGGCTCCCTCCAATAATGTTGGCCAACCCCACCTTGGCCAACATTATTGGACCCCACCAATAATCACCCAACTCAACTTCTTGGTTGGGGTCCAATAATGCCAACCAAGGCTAGTATCCAACCTCCAACTATGTATACCCCCATCATTCTCAATCAAGATACAACTTCTATTCTAACTCTCATTTCCCACATGGTATAGAGCACACTATCCTAGGCTTACTATCGTTCCAAAGGCCCACCCGGCCACCGCAACCCCCGGCCTCCTCCCTTTCATTTTTTTTTTCCCCGGCTCCTCTGCCACCTTCCCCCTCCCCCCTTAGCGCTCCCCTTCTTTCGCAGCCTTGCTGCTGCCTTTGCGCCCGCCGTCGCCCGCGCCTTCCCCCCGCGACCTCGTCGTCGCCTCCGCGCCCGCGTCGCCCCGGCCTCGTCAGCCGCCGCCGCCCGCGCTGCTCCCCTCCGCGGCCTCGTCGCCGCCTCCGCGCCTGCGTCCGCCGCGGCCTCGCCAGCCGCCGCCACCCCGCTCCCCTCCGCGGCCTCGACGCCGCCTCCGCGCCCGCGACGCCGCGGCCTCGCCAGCCGCCGCCGCCCGCGCAGCTCCCCTCCGCGGCCTCGACGCCGCCTTCGCGCCCGCGACGCCGCGGCCTCGCCAGCCGCCGCCGCCCGCGCAACTCCCCTCCGCGGCCTCGCCGCCGCCTCCGCGCCCACGACGTCGCGGCCTCGTCAGCCGCCGCCGCCCGCGCAGCTCCCCCTCGCGGCCTCGCCGCCGCCTCCGCGCCCGCGTCGCCGCGGCCTCGCCAACCGCCGCCGCCCGCGCTGCCCCCCTCCGCGGCCTCGTCGCCCCCGCGCCCGCGTCGCCGCGGCCTCACCAACCGCTGCCGCCTGCGCTGCTCCCCTTCACGGCCTCGACGCCGCCTCCGCAACCGCGTCGCCGCGGCCCCACCAGCCGCCGCCCGCGCAGCTCCCCTCCGCCGCCTCAGCACCACCTCTGCGCCTGCGTCCGCCACGGCCTCGCCAGCCGCCGCCACCTCCCGCCGCTTCGCAGCCTCGTAGCCACCTCCGCGCCAACCTCCGCTGCCTGCGCCATTCCTCCACCTCCCCACCGCTTCCGCACCCGCGCCATAGCAGCCCCACCAGCTGCCGCCACCTGCGCGCTTTCGTGACCACTGCGGGTCCACCTGCAGCCGTCCCTCATGGCTAACCCCATGCCCTCCCCCTCCCCCCCTCCCTCCTCCTATCGATACTTCCTCCATTGACAAATTACAGCTTGCAGCCGACAAATCTGCCATTAACTGGTACTCGTTCGTCGGCAGCATCCGACGAGTCCTCACCAATGCATGGATCCCCCCCTACCGCGTCCTTGACGTCGTCCTCCGCCGCCCCCATGCCCTCCCCCCCACCGAACCTGACCACCCCGGCAAGACCCCTCCTCTCCCTCCCCCTCCTGGCGACCCTCCCCTTGAGCCCGAGCTCCAGACCGCCGCCGACCAAGCCACCGCAGATGCAGACTTCATTATGCGTTGCCGTGCCTACCTCATCCGCAAAGCCGAGTACGATGCAGCAGCTGATGCCTACGCCCAGGCCGTTGCTGGCCGCAATGCTCACCTCGCCGTCGTCGCCAAATACAACGACGATATGACTACCTTCACTCCTAAGTTCATCGCCTGGTCAGCCGCTGACAACTGCGCATGCACTGTCATCCTCGGTGCTCTCCCCGACTCCCTCATGCGCCGCTTCCAGGCCCGGGAACTCCGTGCCTCAGTGATATGTGCAGAACTCCATGCTATGTTCGAACGCCGCGACATCAGCTCCGTGGGAATCCTCTTCCAGGAGTATTTTTCTATTACCCTCGCCACCTGTGACGGGGCAGTAGACTATGTCGGCCGCATGCGAGAGGTAGCTGATCGCCTCGAAGCCCGCCAAGCCGGTCTCTCCGAACCCCTCCAAATCCATCGCCTCCTCTTCAATCTCACCCCAGACTATGAATCCCGCCTTCACGCCTTTACCGAGGCCAATCCCATGGCCAATATCACTTCTGTTGAACAGTGGATCATTGATACCGAAGTCAAACTTCGCACCCCCATGGTCAACCTCGCCTCCTCCCACCCTCCCTCCTCCTCTCTCAACACTACCCAGCCCCGCAAGCAGGGCAAACGCAACGGCAAAGGGGGAAGTGGGGGCAAGGGAGGCAGCGGTCAAGGAAACAGCAGCGCCAGCAACCATGGTGCCTCTACTGGGGATGAGCACGGCACCCCCAGTCAGGGCGGTCCCTCTGGAAACCGGGGACCCCGCCCTGGCACTCTCCCTCCTTGCACCTATGTCCGTCGCTACGGTCCCCGGGCAGGGACACCCTGCGGTCAAACCAACCATCCCCCTACCACTTGCTTCAAGGCTCTCGATGATGCCTGGTACGCACGGGGCAATGTTGGCACACCTCCCCGCTGGGGTACCGTCTCCCCGCGTCCCTCCCCTGCTGACATCCAAACCCACCCTGCTTATCTCCCCACCCACCTCCGCCTCCTTGCTCCCCCCACGCCGCTCCTCAATATTCAGTAGCAGCATCTTCTGCAGCAACCGCAACAGCAGCAGCAGCTGTTCCAGCAGCAACCACCGCAGCAGCAACAGCAGCAGCAGCAGCAGCAGCAGCAGCAGCAGCAGCCCCCATGGGGACCCGGGCTCTCACCCCAGTGGGGACCCAGCACTCCCCCCTGGCAGCAGCAGCAGCAGCTGAACCTCAGCGCGGCAGCCACAGCTGCTCAGACCCCCCCTGCTCCCTTGTGGGGTGCCCCACCTCCTCCTGGTAGTATTGTCACTCCTCTCACCCAGGAAAGTTTTCTTGGCAACATTGCTCTTTCCCCCTCTCTTCCTTCCATGTACCCCTCCACCATTAATGAAACCACTTTCCAGTACTCGGTGTCTTCCTCCTCCTCCCCATCCACTCTGGACTTCGTCCTTGATAGTGGGGCCACTGAGACTGCTCTCAAGGATGCTGGTACACTCACACCCCTCTCTCCTCCCACTCAAGTTCACGGTGCTGACAGCAGTTTCACCATCCCATGCACACATCTCTCCACTCTCCCCTGCACAATCTTCCCCTCTGGTAAGGTAACTGGTCTCCACATCCCCACTCTCCGAAACAACCTCCTCTCCCATCGGGAAATCCAGAATGCAGGTATCACTGCCGTCTATCCAGGTAATGCCACCTACTGTGACCTCTATCACACCGCCACCGGTCGCTTCCTTCTACGCATTCCCCTCTGCCCCCGCACTCGCCTCTACACTCTCCGCACCCCTTGGCCATCCTTCTGCCATGTCACCACTCGTACTGGCACCTCCACTCACCCTTCCCATCCCCCTACTTCACCTCCACCCCAGCAGCAGCAACAGCAGCAACAGCAGCCGCCGCAGGGGCAGCATCCGCAGCAGCAGCAACGACAGCAGCAGCAGCCGCCGCAGCAGGAGCAGCAGCAGGGGCCGCAGCAGCAGCAGCCGCCGTCGCAGGGGCAACAGCAGGGGCCGCAGCAGCAGCAACAGCAGCACCAGCAGCCGCCGCAGCAAGGGCAGCCGCCGCAGCAGCAACAGCAGCAGCCACCTCCCCCTCTCCCACCCTCACTCACTCCAACCCCCTCCACCTCCGACCATCTCTCCCACCCCGCTGTACTGCTACATCACCGACTCGGCCACCCCAATTTCGCCGCTCTCCGCACTGCCATCACCTCTCGCCTCCTTCACAGCCTCCCTCCCACTCTCCCTCCCCTCCCTTCCTCTCCAGCCCCTCCATGCCCCTCCTGCATCCACGGCAAACTCAAACAGTCTCCCCACCACAGCCACCCATCCTTTGCTCCCGCTCCCATTGACCTAGTCCATATGGACCTCTGGGGACCCTCTCCCACTCGCTCCCGTCAGGGCCATCGCTACATGCTGGTCCTCGTAGACGACCACAGCCGCTACTCCTCCATTTTCCTCCTCCACACGAAAGACCAGGCACCGACTGTGATCACCCACTGGGCAGAGCAATGCCGCGCCCACTTCAACCGTCCCATCGGCCGCCTTCACTCTGACGGCGGCGGAGAATTCCTCAACCGCACCCTCTCCCACTACTGCGCCACCCATGGCATCCAACAGACCCACACCCTTCCCCACTCCCCGCAGCAGAATGGTGTCGCAGAAAGCCGCATTCGCGAAATCACCAAAATCGCTCGTTGCCTCCTCGCTCACGCCTCCACCCCTCCTTCCCTCTGGGGCTATGCTCTGCTCCATGCTGCCCTCCTCCTCAACCTTCACTCTCATCCTCAACACACTGCCATCACCCCCACGGAACTCTGGTCAGGCACGAAACCTGACGCTGCCGGTCTCCGTGTCTGGGGCTGCAAGGCATACGTTCTTATCCCTCCTTCTGACCGCACCCACGGCAAGCTCGCTTCCCGCGCCCTCGAGTGTGTCTATCTCGGACACAACCGCGACTCGCCTGGCTATCTCTTCCTCCACCCTCCCTCCGGTCGCCTCATCCGCAGCATTGACGTCGTCTTTGACGAAACCACCCCGTACTACTCCTCTCCACCACCAGACCCCCTCCCTTCTCCTACCCGTCCTCTCGCCTGGACCGACACTGTCCTCCCTCCCCTCCTCCCTCCTGCGCCTCTACTACCACCTCTCCCTGCTCCACCTCCACCGCCCTCCTCTGCTGACATCTACGATCCTACTGCACCTGCATCCCCTGCCCACTCCGCCGCCCCCCCTCTCCCCTTCCCCTCCTCCCCTCCCTCTCCTTCATCCCAACAGCAGCAGCCGCAGCAGCAGCAGCAGCTGCGGCAGCAGCCGGGGCAGCAGCAGGGGCAGCAGCTGGGGCAGCAGCAGGGGCAGCAGCAGCAGGAGGAGCAGCAGCCGCAGCAGCAGCAGGGGCTTCAGCAGCACCAACAGCAGCAGCGGCGGAGGGCGACTGCCCGCTCCTCACCCTTCCTCCTCCCTCGCATGCACACCCGCTCCCTTGATCCCATCCTTGGCACACCGCCTTCTCCCTCCCTCAACCTACTAGAAGACTTCCATGAAGAACTTACTATGGTCCAGCGCCACACTCCCTCTCTCACCCCCCTCTACCCTGGCTTCCTCGGCGCTCTTATCCTTGCCGCAGTCTCCGCTCCCACCATCTTCGTCCCCTCCACCTTCCAGGAAGCTACCACCTGCCCAGATGCCGACAAATGGATAGCCGCCATCTTCCTGGAATGTGAGGCCTTCATCCGCAATGACTCTTTCATCGATGTGCCCCTCCCTCCTGACGCCAACCTTGTCGAGGGCAAGTGGATCTTCCGAGTAAAACAGCTGCCGGGAGAAGAACCAGTCTACAAGGCCCGCTATGTCGCCAAAGGCTTTACACAGACTTGGGCTGAGGACTACTGGTTCACATTCGCCCCTACCGTTAAGCCACCTACCCTTCGCGCCCTTCTCGACGTTGGTGCGCGCGACAACATGGAGATTGACTCCATGGACGTCTCCAACGCATTCTTGCAAGGCGAGCTGCACGAGCGTATTTTCCTACGCCGACCTCCCGGGTTTCACGCTGCTTTCCCCGGCAATACCGTCTGGCAACTACGTCGACCAGTCTATGGTCTGAAGCAGGCACCACGAGAATGGCATGCCAAGCTGTCTACCACTCTCCAGTCCCTCGGTTTCTCTGCCTCCCACTCCGATGCCAGCCTCTTCATCCGCTCTTCCCCTCGCTTCTTCATCTCGGTCTATGTTGACGACATGATCCTGCTTGCTGATTCCAGGACCGACATGGACCAGGTGAAGCAGTCCCTTCAGGACCGTCTCAAGTGCAAGGACCTTGGTCCGCTGCAGAACTACCTCGGCATGACCATCACCCGCGACCGATCCGCCCGCACCATCACCCTCTCCCAGTCCCATTACATCGGCCAGGTGCTGGAGAAGTTCGAGATGGCGCAGGCCAAACCGGTCTCCACCCCCCTCCCCTTCGGTCACCAGCTGGCGCCACCCACCTCCCCCTCCGCCTCCTCCCGTCCCTATGCCGAACTCGTCGGGTCGCTGATGTACGCGATGATGTGCACTCGCCCCGACCTTGCCTACCCCATCAGCGTCCTCGCTCGGTTCGTCGGCTCCGGCCGCCACACTGAGGAACACTGGACTGCCGCTAAGCGAGTTCTCCGCTACCTCCGGGGCACCAAGGATCACGCCCTTACATTGGGTGGTTCCTCCCCTCCCCTTCTCTCTGGCTTCAGTGATTCCTCCTGGGCGGACTCCCAGCCAGACCGCCGCTCCTCACAAGGCTATGGTTTCACGCTTGGCAGCGGACTTATCAGCTGGCGTTCTACTCGCTCCTCTGCCGTTGCCCTCTCCTCCTGCGAAGCCGAACTCTATGCTGGCACTATGGCTGCCCAAGAGTCCCGTTGGCTCTGCTTTCTTCTCGCCGAGCTTGGTGCCCCGCAGCGCTGTCCCACACTCTGGTGTGACAATGCCAGCACCATCCATCTCACCCAGGACCCAGTCTTTCACGGCCGCTCCAAGCACATCGAGCTCCGCTACTTCTTCATCCGTGACCTCGTCCAGCAAGGCCTCATTGCCGTCCGCAAGATCGCTGCCGCGGCCAACTTGGCTGATATATTTACCAAAGCCCTTCTCCGCCCTGCGCACTCTGCTCTTCTCCGTCTCATCGGCCTCACCCCTCCCGGCGTGCCTTCATTCAGGGGTTGCTACTCTCTAGCCTGTCCACGTATCTGCAGGTTAAGGGGTTGTGTTAGAATATCTCTCCTCTTGTAACCTGCATATATGCTATAGGATAGGCTAGAGATAAGCACCCAAACTTAGTTTGGGTGTACAAACAGGGGTAACCCAGTTTGTAGGTTGGAACCCAACCTTGGTCCAATTATTGGACACCAAAAGGTTGGGTTGGGTAGAATTATTGGCTCCCTCCAATAATGTTGGCCAACCCCACCTTGGCCAACATTATTGGACCCCACCAATAATCACCCAACTCAACTTCTTGGTTGGGGTCCAATAATGCCAACCAAGGCTAGTATCCAACCTCCAACTATGTATACCCCCATCATTCTCAATCAAGATACAACTTCTATTCTAACTCTCATTTCCCACAAAGAGGGGCGCGACGAAGAGGGGCGGGGGAAGAGGGGCAGAACGAAGAGGGGCGGGGGAAGAGGGGCGGAACGAAGAGGGGCGGGGGAAGAGGGGCGGAACGTAGAGGGGCGGGGGAAGAGGGGCGCAATGAAGAGGGGCGGTGGAAGAGGGGCGCAACGAAGAGGGGCGGAGGAAGAGGGGCGCAACGAAGAGGGGCGGAGGAAGACGGGCGCAACGAAGAGGGGCGGGGGAAGAGGGGCGCAACGAAGAGGGGCGGAGGCAGAGGGGCGCAACGAAGAGGGGCGGAGGAAGAGGGGCGCAACGAAGAGGGGCGGAGGAAGAGGGGCGCAATGAAGAGGGGCGGAGGAAGACGGGCGCAACGAAGAGGGGCGGAGGAAGAGGGGTGGAACGAAGAGGGGCGGAGGAAGAGGGGCGGAACGAAGAGGGGCGGAGGAAGAGGGGCGGAGGAAGAGGGGCGCAACGAAGAGGGGCGGAGAAAGAGGAGCGCAACGAAGAGGGGCGGGGGAAGAGGGGCGCGACGAAGAGGGGCGGGGGAAGAGGGGCAGAACGAAGAGGGGCGGGGGAAGAGGGGCGGAACGAAGAGGGGCGGGGGAAGAGGGGCGGAACGTAGAGGGGCGGGGGAAGAGGGGCGCAACGAAGAGGGGCGGGGGAAGAGGGGCGCAACGAAGAGGGGCGGTGGAAGAGGGACGCAACGAAGAGGGGCGGAGGAAGAGGGGCGGAACGAAGAGCGGCGGAGGAAGAGGGGCGCAACGAAGAGCGGCGGAGGAAGAGGGGCGCAATCAAGAGCGGCGGAGGAAGAGGGGCGCAATCAAGAGCGGCGGAGGAAGAGGGGCGCAATCAAGAGCGGCGGAGGAAGAGGGGCGCAATCAAGAGCGGCGGAGGAAGAGGGGCGCAATCAAGAGCGAAGGACGGGAAGGATGGAACACAGAGGGAAGGTGAAGATCAATGCAGAAAGAAGGGAGGGAGAGGACGCTATGCGGAGGGAGAGGACGCTATGCGGAGGGAACGGGGTAGGGATGGAGCGCAAAGAGAAGGAGGAAGGATGCAATGCAGACGGAAGGAGAGGACGGATGGAATGCAAAGGAAAAAAGGGAAGGACTGAATGCCGAGGGAAGGTGAGAAAGGATGGAGCACAGAAGGAGCGGAGGGGGGAAGTCAGAGAAGGACGCAACACAGAGAACAGGAGGGAAACGATGGAGCGCAGAGGGGAGGTGGGGAAGGATGGAGCGCAGAGGGGAGGTGGGGAAGGATGGAGCGCAGAGGGGAGGTGGGGAAGGATGGAGCGCAGAGGGGAGGTGGGGAAGGATGGAGCGCAGAGGGGAGGTGGGGAAGGATGGAACGCAGAGGGGAGGAGTGGAGGATGGAATGCAGAGGGAAGGAGTGGAGGATGGAATGCAGAGGGAAGGAGTGGAGGATGGAACGCAGAGGGAAGGCTGCAAAGGTCCACTTCCCAGGGGCCCGAAGGTGAGGAAGGGGGGAAGGGAAGCAGATATTGGAAGTAAACGGGGGAGCGGTTGGGAGGGGAAATGGGGAGGCGAATAAGGGACCGGGCCTAAAGAGAAAGGAATAAAAACGAGAAAAGAAGTCGCAATAACGGACGTGCGGACTCTAAACTCACCCAGGCGGGAGAGGGATTTCTTGCACCCACCTTTGCTGGGTCTAACTGAAGGTATCGCGAAGCAGCTCCGAACGCGAAATTGTCCACGCAGACGAAGTAAGACCCTGCGAAGTCCAGAATGGTGCCATCCTCCCGGCAAATCCCTAGGTGGCCGATGAACGGCACGAACCACGCGATCACTGGCAGAGGAGTCCAGACCAGGCAGTAGGGGAATTTACCCGCGCTAGGGTTCACAGGAGGGAAATCGACCCGATTGACCAAGTAGCGATCGGCAGTAGCGGCATCTGGATTTGGATTGGAGTCAGTTACTGTAGAGGTGTTGGTCTTTTTGCTGCTGAATCTATGGCTTTCGCCATCGCTGACTCCGTTATGGTGATCAAGGTAAGGTTCTGAATGCTTGGCGTAAGTGTCCGAGTAGCTTATTGATAAAGCCGTGTGCTCGTTGGAGGAGTCAAGGGGGTTAGAAGGCAGGGAGTCGTGGGTGCGGCTGGCTGCTTCCGTTGGTCTCTTCATAACTGCTGGCGATTTCCCTGGATTGACTGGTCTAATTCTGGTAGTGTAACGTATCAGTCGCGCCGTAAAGCTGTCATGAAATTAGACAATGAAGGGGACAATTCAGGGCGCGATCGATGCGATGCAACTTTAGGGCAAGATGCTCTGATATGTCAGAGCGATCCCATAAACGCTGCCTCGATCTTACAAATCGAGTGCTTTCCACAAGGGTGATACAGAATAGTAGCAAAATCGGTTTTCCGAGAAACGCCATTTTTCTACAGCTCAGTGATTTCAATAACGTGACCACGTGTGACTCTTGTAACGAATGTCGGTCATGGCTCAATCAAACCCATCTACAGCGCACCTCACTGTAGCCGAAACGTGTTCTTACAGACTTCGCCCCCTCGATTGAGTGTCGCTCGTTCCCTCTGTCCATCTTGCCTTGACGGGCGAATCGCTTGCGTGTATTTGGGAACTGTTGTTGCTGCTGATTGGCGAATGGCTTGTGCGCTCCAGGCGTGTCGCGCAAACTGCATTTTCTGGGGTTTCCGTTTTCCAATGGTCCAAGTCGGCAATGAAGGAGAACCCGAGCACAACGCTACGCACCAGGCTCAACCGTTATCAATCAGACTGTATACATATGAAAAGGAGAAAGAGTGGCCACGAGCAGTATTCACCCCCTCCTGCCTTTCCTCATTCACCTTCATCAAACCACCTCCCTTCCCCCTAGTCTGCCCCACCCCTCCCGAATTTTTCTCTCAGATCTAGGTAATACACATACCTCTTCACATTCGTCCCAGACGGCTGGCACATGATCTGAAACACTGGAGTTTTTTAATAAAGGTAACATACGTAATTTGACGCTTTAGAGTTTTGATTGAGAAATATTCGGCCTCACGAAAGCAATCCATCTCTCCAGCTGAGAAAAACAAAATGGGCGCCTCTGTCCCTAACGAGTCGCCGTCGCCGTCGCCGCGTCGTCAGGAGTCGCAGAAGCGACGTGCGAATCCGTACATTGTCGCATGCGCGTTGCTGGTCGTCGCATTCCTGGCCGTCCAGTACAACTCGTCGCGATCATGCAACGCGGAGTTGCAGCTTCAGCGACAGGCTCCCGACGACGCCCCCGGCCGGCTGTCCGCGTTACAGCCGTACTACGCTAAGGCGCAAAGCGCACTCGATATGGAGCTGTGCCGCGCGGAAGCGGCATACGCGGCGAATAAGGCGCGTCGCGTGGCGTCGTTTAACGGCCTCCTGCAGCCGGCCGTGCTGTCCGTTGCTGATATGCTGACTAAGGCCATCGTTCCCATGTACCCCTGCCCGCGCGAACAACGGCTGGGCGTGTGGGGAGAAGGCGGAAAGGTAAGGAAGGGGGATGGGTGGAAGATGGGAAGGGGGAAAGGTGATGCAGGGGATGGGTGGAAGATGGGAAGGGGGAAAGGGCATGCAGGGGATGGGTGGAAGCTGGGAAGGGGGAAAGGTGATGCAGGGGATGGGTGGAAGAGGGGTAGGGGAAAAGGGGGATTGGGAAGCGAAAAGGGGAGCGAGAGGGTGCGAGAGTGGGCGAGGGGGAAAGAAGGGGGAGAGGGATGGTGATGGGTGGAGAGGAAAGGAAACAGCCAGCAGTGCTGTCTGTTCCCGATATGCTGACTAATGCCATCGCTCCCATGTACCCCTGCCCGCGCGAACAACGGCTGGGCGTGTGAGGGAAGGCGGACAGGTAAGGCCGGAGGATGGGTGGAAGAGGGGGAGCGCGAAGGGGGGAGGGGAAGGGGAAAGGGGAGCGAGTATGGGGAGAGGGATGGTGGTCGGTGGGGAGGAAGCGAAGCCGCTAGGTTTGCTGTCCGTTGCTGATATGCTGACTAAGGCCATCGCTCCTATGTAATCATGCCCCCTCTTTCTTCCCTCGCCGCCCCCTCTTGCTTCTCTCGCCGCCCTCTTGCTTCCTCCCCTTCCTCTCCCTTTCCTCCCCTTGCCCCTTCCCCTTCCCCATTTACCTCTCCCTTCCTCATTCTCCGCTCCTCCGAATCATGCTCTTCGGAAGTGGGTCTATGTTTTTAGGCGCCGAAGAAATCTCCGCCTACATTCTCTTTCCCCCCAACTAATCATGTCCCCCCCACTCATTCTATAACCTGATCATGCCTTCCTCCCCCCTACCCCCTACACCCCCCTTCCCCCCCCCCCCCCACCCCACACACACACACACCCCTTCCCCCCCCGCCCGAATCTTCTCTGCGGCAGTGGGTCTGCGTGCTGCCAACTGCCTTTCAAACCAAGCCCGTGGTGTACAGGTGCGTGGGGGATGGGTGAAAGAAGGGGGGGGGGGGGGGGGGGAGTTGTCTACGCTTCTCTCTGTGGGTGCGTGGGTGGGTGGGTGAGTGGGTGGGGGAAGGGAGGGGGGGGGGGGGGGGTAGTATCTACATGTGTGTGTGTAGGGGGGGGGAGGAGGGGTGTCCGCGTCTCCTCCCTTCCTACCCATGCTCTGCGGCAGTGGGTCTGCATGCTGCCAACTGGCCTCCAAAACAAACCCGTAGTGTACAGGTGTGTGGGGGTGGGGGGCAAGGGGGGGAGTGTTTACGTGTTAGTCTGTGGGAGCGTGGGTGAGTCGGTGGGGGAGGGGTTGGGTGGATGAGTGGGTGGGAGAGTGAGGGGTGTGTGTGCGGGTGGGGGAGTGGGGGGTATATACGCGTGTGTGTGCGGGAATGTGGGTGGGTGGGTGGGGGAAGGAGGGGTGTACGTGTCTCTTGAGAATTCTCAAAAGTCACTCCAATATATGTGGGTGGGTGGGTGGGTGGGTGGGTGGGTGGGTGGGTGGGTGGGTGGGTGGGTGGGTGGGGGAAGGAGGGGTGTACGCGTCTCTCCCCACTCTTCCATCTGACTTGTGAGTCGACTCAAAAGTCACGTGTCTCTCCCCACTCTTCCATCCTCTGCGGCAGTGGGTCTGCATGCTGCCAACTGTCAGGTCTGTTTCAGACCAAACCTGTGGTGTTCAGGTGCGTGTGTGAGGGAAGGGAAGGGAGGAAGTGTGAGTGGTACGTGTCTGGGCAGCAAGGAGAGCTACTCGTTCCTTGAGCAGGATGTTTTCAAAGCCACAGGCGCCATCCCTCTCACCTTCCACCCCTTCACATCTCATGAGACTCACAACTGCACGCTCGCCCTTCCCCTGCTTCTGTTTCCCCGCATCCCCCCCCTTTCCCCCTTCCTCCCCCACTCCCTACACCAAGCCAGGGCGGGCAGCAAGGAGAGCTACTCGTTCCGTAAAAGGATGTTTTTAAAGCCACAAGCGCCATCCCCCTCATCTTCCACACCTTCCTCTCCCTAGAGACCGTTCACTGCACACTTTCCCCTTCCCCTCCTTCTGTTCCTCCCCCTCCCTTTCACCAAGCCAGTGTGGGCAGCAAGGAGAGGCACTATGGTCAAAGCCATGGCCGCCATACCATGTAGCCCCTTCTCAACTCAACAACTGCACATCGCCCTTCTCCTCCTTCTGTTTCCCCGCATCCACCCTCTCCCCCCCTTGAACCCAAGCCAGTGTGGGCAGCAAGGAGAGCTACTCGTTCGAAGAGGACATCTCCAAAGCCACAGATTCCATTCCCCTCACCACGTGCTCGCCCTTCCCCTCCTTCTCTTCATCCCCATCCACCCCCCTCCCCTTACCCTCAAGCCAGTGTGGGCAGCAAGGAGAGCTACTCGTTTGAGGAGGATATTGCAAAAGCCACAGGCGCCATACCCCTCACCTTCGACCCTTTCATCCCCCAAGAGGCGCAGCAACGCATGCTCGCCCTGCCGTTCCTTCGCTACTTCCCCGAAGGCCTCTCGGGCAGATCGAAACTTACGAAGAACAGGAAGATGTTTCCGAACTACAGCTTTTCGACCCTGCCCGAGGTGAGAGTGGCAGGTGAACTACCTTTTGAACCTATGCTTCTCAAGGGTGTTTCACATTTATCCGACGCTGAGAATGTTCCTTCAACCAATACTCGTGTAACAAGTGGTTTATGCTAGAGTTTCTGGAAAACCGGTGATCATAGGTGGTATGCGGTTACTAGGGACCTAGGGCAAACAGATGAGCGGGTGAGGTCACCAGGCCTAACCGAAACCTGTTCTGGTTTTCTCCTCTTTCTTCATGCCCTCTCAGCTCATGGCGACTCACGGCACGGCCTATATCAATGTGCCCAACAATGACTGCGAGGGGTCACTCCCTTGTTACCCCCAGCTCATGGCCACTCATAACGCGGCCTAAATGGATGTGCTCAAGATTGACTGCGAGGGGTGCGAGATCAAGATTATTCCTTCACCCCTCCTCTTCACAACCCCCTCCTCCCTCAGCTCATGGCCACGCACAACACTGACTACATGGATGTGCTCAAGATTGACTGCGAGGGGTGTGAGATAGAGATGATTCGAGACCTGGAGCAGGCCATGGGGGGAGATTCCAGGGCTGGGCTTGTGCGGTTCGGAGGGAAGCTTCCGTTTGGACAGCTGCTGGTGGAGTTTCACAAGTACGCCCTTTTTTCTACCTTTTCCTACAAGAATGTACACGTTTTCAGACCAACCTATGTGTTGGTGTTCTTTCACTGAAAGGAATGGCTGCTGTGTTGCTTTTCCTCCCTCCCCATCCCGTCCAACTTTCACGTATAGAACCTCGGCCTCCCCTAACTCTTTCCCTCCCTTTCCCCCTCCCTGACTCTTTCCTTTCATTCATCCATCCTCCTTTGACTGAAACAGGATCCATGTTCCCATAGTCACACTATCCCAAAGTCACACTATCTCTCGTCTATGCGATTGAGAATCTCTGTTACTGTGCCCTCCCTCACTCTTTCCCCCCCACCCCTCCCTCTCTCTTCCACCCTCCCTTTTTTTCCCTCCCTTGTGCCACTTCCGCCAATACAGGATCCACGTTCTTAAAGTCACGCTGCCTCTCATCTACACAATTGAGAATCTTGGGTACCGAATCTTCCACATGAGAACCGTGGCCTCACTCTCTTTCTCTCCTCTCCTCTCTCTTCCACCCCCTCTTCTCCCCCTTCCCTTCTACCCCTCCCGTCATTACAGGATCCATGTTCCTAAAGTCACACTACCTCTCATCTACGCGATCGAAAATCTCGGATACCGTATTTTTACTCTCTCCTTTCCACCCACCGTTTTCCCTCCTCCCCTCTACCCCTCCTGCCAATACAGGATCCACGTTCCCAAAGTCACACTGCCTCTCATATACGCAATTGAGAACCTCGGGTACCGTATTTTTCACGTCGAAATGAACCCTCTCTGCTCCAAGTGTATGGAGGTGAGCTTTATACACGAGAGCCTGGTGCAGCCTTCTAACGAGGATGCCTGCTATGTAGATGATGGCAACGGGAGTAGTACCACCAGCAGCAGTGGTGGGGGAGACAGTGGTGGCAGTGGCAGCAGTGACAGCAGCAACAGCATGGGCAACAGTGAGAAGCCAGAAACAAAAGACCAGCAGCAGCAGCAGCAGCAGCAGCAGCAGCAGCAGCAGCAGAAGAAGAAAAATATCGGGCAAGAACAGCAGTCGCAGCAAGAGCAGCAGGGAGGGGAGTGAGGAAGGGTTGCTCAGAAATACTGTAAGCAGGATTGGTTTGAAGCCACTTCCAGGATTTGCTTTCCATCCTTCTCCAAGCATCCACTTATGTATTTGCTTGTGTTGTGTGTACTGGTCACTACAGCACTAGAGAGTGGTGTATGGCCTAATCATGTATGCCTAATAATTAAGCAAAATACAAGTAGTAGGTATCTAGCGAAAGCTTGGGATGTAGAGCACGGTCAGTTGGCTCAGACTATCCTAAACCCTACGTATCACTATAAGTGTACATGCAGGTGCTACTATATAAACATGCTTCTACATGCACACCAAAATAGCATTTCGTGCAATAAGCATACCGTACTCTCTCTCTCTCACACGACCGAACCCAAAATGGCACCGACCGATCGGATTGATTCAACCTGAGACAGGTTGTAGTGCTAGGAGTACACACCCACGCTCTTCGCCTCGCTAATATAAACACAACTGAGCCTAAAACATAGAAACAGCTACTACCAGCTTTGACACTACGATGTGCTGCTTCTGCCTGTAAAGCACAGTTTTTGTTACGGTATGGCATGGAAATTTTATCTGGAGATTCTGCCAACTCCATATCAGTAACTGGCAGGCTTCTTCTCTGCCCACCTTGCCACGGCCTTCCGGACGACCTGCTTCGAACCACCTGCTTTGCAACCATTTTATGTGTTTTCTCTTCATGATACAGCAGCATCAGCTCAGCAGCCCGTCGTCATCCCCCCATTCGCCCCCCAGATCTGATTTCTCCTTTCAAAAGAACAGCACTGTAACGGATATATCGTCTCTGGAGTTGGCGTGTTTCTCCGCTGCCCACATCGCCACCACCATCAGAGGCACCTGATTTGAGGCCACCTGCTTATATCGAGTAGACTCGAAGGGCCCCTTTAGAAGAACAACACTGCTACGGAAATATCATCTCTGGAGTTGGCGTGTTTCTCTGCTGCCCACTTCGCCACGGCTTTCTGGGCCACCTGCTTCGCTGCTTTGCTCCTGGGCCAAGTGTTTGCTACGATCTCCACCACCTCTGCATTCGACAGCACGTCCCACACCTGCGATCGGGTTTGGAGCGGTGGAGAGAGGGGTGGAGAGGGGTTGTAGGAGGTTGTGGAAGGTTGTGAGGGGTTTTGACTGGTTGTGAGTGGTTAGCGCATCACCCCACGAGCCACCCGCTTCGCTGCTCTGCTCCTGGGCCATGTGTTTGCCGCTATCTCAACCACCTCTGCGTTAGTCAGCACGTCCCACACCTGTCAAATGGGTTTGGAGGGGTGAAGAGGGGGGTGGAAGGGGGTTGTGCTGGGTTGTGCTGGGTTGTGGAGGGTTGTGGGTGGTTGAGAGTGGTTAGCGCATCATGCCACAAGCCTGCCTGCTTCCTGGGCCATGTGTTTGCCACTATCTCCACCACCTCAGCATTCGACAGCACATCCCATCCGGTCATTGGGATCTATGCTGCTCACTGTCACACCCGGCCGGCAGATGAGCCCATGGGGATTGCTGTGTGAGGGCTTCCACACAGAAAAGAGCACTCACCCCATCAGAACCCATGACCACGAACTGGTCGTTCGGGTCTATAGTTCGAACAGTCACATCGGGCCGGCAGATGAGTCCGTGCGACCTGAGCTCAAAGTCTCCAAAGGCGCGCGCCACTGCCGACAGATGAGCCCGTGGGACTTGCTTCTTGCATCTTTCCTTACCAGAACAGAATGAACAGGCCACCCACCCACTCACCCCATGACCACGAACTGGTCGTTGGCGTCTATGCTGCGAACAGTGACATCGGGCCGGCAGATGAGCCCGTGGGATTTGAGCTCAAAGTCCCCAAAGGCGCGCGCCACTGCCAGCCCCGGTGAGTAGAACGAATGGACCACCCACTCACCCCGTCTGAACCCATCACAACGAACTGGTCGTTTGCGTCTATGCTGCGAACAGTGACATCGGGCCGGCAGATGAGCCCGTGCGATTTGAGCTCAAAGTCCCCAAAGGCGCACGCCACTGCCAGCCACGGTGAGCAGAATGAACGGACCACGCACTCACCCCATCCGAACCCATGACCACAAACTGGTCGCTGGGATCTACAGTTCGAACAGTGACATCGGGCCGGCAGATGAGTCCGTGTGATTTGAGCTCAAAGTCCCCAAAGGCGCGCGCCACTGCCAACAGATGAGAGCCCGTGGGACTTCGCATCCTAACAGGCCGCCCACCCACTCACCCCATCTGAACCCATCACAATAAACTGGTCGTTGGCGTCTAGAGTGCGAACAGTAACGTCGGGCCGGCAGATGAGCCCGTGGGATTTTAGCTCAAAGTCTCCGAACGCGCGCGCCACTGCCAGCCCCGGCTCGCTCTTCCCCGGCAGGAAGATTCTGTCGATGGTGTTCATGTAGTTTAGCACCTTGCCGCCTGCTTCCTGCACTCGCACCTTCTCAGCTGCGGTTTAAGGGAGGCAAGCAGGGGCGGGCGGAGAAGCAGGGGGGAGTGAGACAAGGGAGGAAGATTCTGTGGATGGTGTTCATGTAGTTGAGCACCTTGCCGCCCGCCTCCTGCACCTGCACCTTCTCAGCTGCAGAGAGCAGTAGTAACAGGCGGGGCAGGGATGGAGAGGAGGGAGAGCAATAGATGAAACATTTGAGATTACGAAGAGAGAGATGGTATGCTGTTCATGCACACAGCTTCGCAGCTGTGATGCAGGGGGACAAGGGCGACGCAGAGGGAAGGGATGAGAGACTAGGGCAGGAAGATTCTGTCGATGGTGTTCATGTAGTTGAGGACCTTGCCGCCCGCCTCCTGCACCTGCACCTTCTCCGCTGCAGGACAAGGGGTGAAGGGGGAAGAAGGGGGAAGGGAAAGGGGAGAGGTGGTGGGGAGGTGGGTGAGCGAGAGAGAAGGAGGGAGATTCAGTGCACGGTGGTGTTGAAATGGTTGAGCAGCAGGGGGTGACATGGGGCCGACATATGAGGCCGCGCCACCGCCAGCCCCGGCTCGCTCTTCCCCGGCAGGAAGATTCTGTCGATGGTGTTCATGTAGTTGAGGACTTCGCCCCTTGCCTCCTGCACCCGCACCTTCTCAGCTGCAGCAAAAGGGAGGTGCAGGGGTTCTGGGTTAATGGTGTGGAGGGCGCGTGAGAGAGGAAGGCAGGGAGATTCTGTCGATGGTGTTCATGTAGTTGATGACTTCGCCCCCTGCCTCCTGCACCCGCACCTTCTCAGCTGTTGAGGAAGGTGGGAAGATGAGGGGGGGTTAGGGAGGTGGGGAGAGGCAAGGAAGATTCTGTCGATGGTGTTCATGTAGTTGAGGACTTTCCCCACCGCCTCCTGCACTCGTGCCTTCTCAGCTGTTATGGTGGGTGAAACAAGGAGGGACGGGGAGGGGAGGGATGGGAGATGAAGGGCGGAAGGGCGGAAGATGGGAAGAGGGGGGAAGGGCAAGGGCCATGGTCAGCTGAACAGCCTCCATGGTCGCTGCATCACTCTTCCCAATCAAGGGTCTCTTAATTTGACTCAAAACCTACCTCCTTCCCCCCTCCTCCCACTCTGCACCCTGCCCCCCTAACACTGTCATAGTCTCACCTGGGTTGCTCGCCTTGTGATCGATGGTCAGCTGAAAGCCTCCATAGTCGCCGCATCATTCTTCCCATTCGAGGGATTGTGACTCGTCTTACAATTCACCCTTCCCCGCATTCCCTCACCTGGGTTGCTCGCCTTGTGGTCGATGGTCAGCTGTACAGCCTCCATGGTCGCCCCAACACAGACCCTACTCCTCTCCCCTACTCCCTTTCCCCAAGCCCTACTCCCTCTCTCGCTCCCTTACCCCACACCTTTCTTCCCCACTCCTCTCCTTACACTCACATCGCGTCACCTGGGTTGCTCGCCTTGTGGTCGATGGTCAGCTGAAAGCCTCCATGGTCGCCGCATCACACGCTCTACTCCCCTCCCCTACTCCCTTCCCTCACTCCCTTCGCTCACTCCCTTCGCTCACTCCCTTCCTCACTCCCCTCCCCAGCACCCTTCTGCCCTCTCACTCTCCCGAATCCCAGTCATCTCCTCTCTCACCTGGGTTGCTCGCCTTGTGGTCGATGGTCAGCTGAACAGCCTCCATGGTCGCCGCGTCGCTCTTCCCATTCGGACCCCTGGCAATGCGAGCAAGCACACAGCGCGAGTCACCTATGTGCGCCACTATCAGCTCTGGTCCCTGCGAAAGGGGAGGTAATGCAGCAAGGGACGGGAGGTCGGGCAATGCAGGCGAGCACACAGCGCGAGTCCCCTGTGTGCGCCACTATCAGCTCTGGTCCCTGAGAAAGGGGGCAAGGCAAAAAGGGAAAAACAGTAAGGAGGTGACCCCTGGCAGTGCGAGTGAGCATGCAGTGGGAGTTACCTATGTGAGCCCTGAAACGTGGGGCGAGGGGATGGAGAGAGATGAAGGGAGGGTTGTGTGGGGGTTGGGGTAAGGAGAGAGAGCACTGATCACCTCGCTCACATGCTCCTCGCTGCCTGAGTGGCTGACCGCAGAAGCAAGCCCACATGCGCCCCAGCCACACAAGAAATCAGCCAATACACGAAGCAGCACACAGGCAGGCAAGAAACCCACCCACCCAGCAACCCAACGTGCGGAGCAGCAGAGAGAGAAAGGCAACTCACGGGGGAGACAGGGAGAGGACGACTCATGAGGCGGAGGGCGACCACAGCAGTAGATCCGCTGTCCCTGTTTTGAAACAGGTCCTTCCTCAGCTCCTCGTCAATGTCCCCAAACACACCCCCAAACACCCCCAGATGCTTCACCCAACGACTAGAGCAGCAACGAGAGAGAAAAAGGTGACTCACGAGGCGGAGGGCAACAACTGCAGTAGACCCGCTGTCCCTGTTGTGAAACAAATCCTTCCTCAGCTCCTCGTCTATATCCCCAAACACGCCACCAAACACCCGCGCCCACACGTCCCGCGCCGCAGCCCCGTCCACGTGGGCGAGCTCGTTCTGGGTGTGCTGCACGGCTGT